GTGTGAGTCACCGCGCCCAGCCTGTTTTCCTATTTTTAAAAATTGCCACAACCACCCCAGTCTTCAGCAACCACCACCCTAATGAGTTGGAAGCCATCAACATTGAGGCAGGTCCCTCCACCAGCAAAAATATTACTGCAACCTCTGCCTCCCAGGTTCAAGAGATTCTCCTGCCTCAGCCTCCTGAATAGCTGGGACTACAGGTGCCTGCCACAACACCTAGCTAATTTTTTGTAGTTTTAGTAGAAACATATTTTTACTGTGTTAGCCAGGATGGTCTCGATCACCTGACCTTGTGATCCGCCCGCCTTGGCCTCCCAAAGTGCTGGAATTATAGGTGTGAGCCACTGCGCCCAGAGATAGTTACTTTTTTTTTTTTTTTTTTTTGCAATAGAAGTTTCTTTGTTTTTGTTTTTTGTTTCGTTTTTGATTTTGGGGTTTTGTTTTGTTTTGTTTTTTGAGGCAGGGTCTCACTCTGTCACCCAGGCTGGAGTGCAGTGGCGTGATCTTGGCTCACTGCAACCTCTGCCTCTGAGGTTCAAGCCATTCTCCTGCCTCAGCTTCCCGAGTAGCTAGGACTACAGGCATGTGCTGCCACACCCAGCTAAATTTTGTATTTTTAGTAGAGACAGGTTTTCACCATGTTGGACATGCTGGTCTCGAACTCCTGACCTGTGATCCACCCTGCCTTGGCCTCCCAAAGTACTGGGATTATAGACAGACGTGAGCCACTACGCCCAGCCAAGTGTTTTTTTGTTTCGTTTTTGAGACAGGGTCTCACTCTGTTGCCCAGGCTGGAGTGCAGTGCTGTGATCATAGCTCACTGCAACCTGGTCCTCCCAGGCTCAAGCAATCCTCTCACCTCAGCCTCCCAAGTGGCTAGGACCACAAGCAATCACCAACATGCCCCGCTAATTTTTTAATTTTTTGTAGAAACAGGTCTCACTGTGTTGCCCAGTCTAATACAGTATTTTCTTTTTTTTTGAGATGGAGTCTTGATCTGTTGCCCAGGCCGGAGTGAAATGACTTGATCTTAGCTCACTGCAACCTCCACCTCCCAGGTTCAAGCGATTCTCCTGCCTCAGCCTCCTGAGTAGCAGGGATTACAGGTATGTGCCACCAAGCCCTGCTAATTTTTGTATTTTTAGTAGAGACAGGGTTTCACCAGGTTGGTCAGGCTGGTCTTGAACTCCTGACGTCATGATCTACCCGCCTCAGCCTCCCAAAGTGCTGGGATTACAGGCAACACACCCAGGTAATTTTTATATTTTTTGTAGAGACAGGCTTTCACCATGTTGGCCAGGATGGTCTTGAACTCCTGACCTCGTGATCTGCCCATCTTGGCCTCCCAAAGTGCTGGGATTACAGGTGTGAGGCACCGTGCCCAGCCAAAATTATTTTTTAATTAATTAATTAATTAATTTATTAGAGACAGGTTTTTCTTTGTCACCCAGGCTGAAGTGCAATGGCACAAACATAGCTCACTGCAGCCTCGAACTCCCGGGCTGACACTGTCCTCCCACTTCAGCCTCTCAAGTAACCTGCTAGTCTTGAACTCCTGGGCTGCAGAGATCCTCCCGCCTCCGCCTCCCAACGTGCTGGGACTGCAGGGCTGTTCCAGCAAGTCTTGCTAAATTTTATTTTTTGTAGAGATGGGGTCTCCCTGTGTTGCCCAGGCTGGTGTCAAACTTCTGGTGTCACACAAATCCCAAAGTGTTTGGATTACAGGCGTGAGCCACTGCGCCCGGCCTGTTCTTTGTAATTTTGTTTACTTATTTATTTATGTATTTTCTTTGAGACGGAATCTCAGTCTGTCACCCAGGCTGGAGTGCAGTGGCGCGATCTCAGCTCACTGCAACCTCCACCTCCTGGGTTCAAGCGATTCTCCTGCTTCAGCCTCCTGAGTAGCTGGGACTACAGGTGCGTGCCACCATGCCTGGCTCATTTTTTGTATTTTTAGTAGAGACAGGGTTTCACCGTGTTAGCCAGGATGCTCTCGATCTCCTGACCTCAAATTGTCTGCCAGCCTCGGCCTCCCAGTGTTTCCAAAGTACAGGCGTGAGTCACCTCACCCGGCCTATTCTTTGTAATTTTGAGGAGGAACCCTGCCTGTGCTCTTTCCCTAGGCTCTGCAAATTCTGTTGGCAGCCTCAAGGACTTATAAAGTGAAGAAGGTAATGAAGAAGGCGATGTTGGAGGAGTCCAGCAGGGCAGGGGAGAGAGGCAGAGACATGCCCCTTCCTGCTGTCAGGACACAAGTGCACAATTGGCGGCCATCAGCCCTGGCTGCAACCCAGGCGCCGGAGGCAGGCCCAGGAGTGCTGAGTGTGGAGGGATGCCTGTAAGCCTGCCTTCTCCTCCCCTGGACAGCAGGCCACTGGGGAGGGGATCCAGATGGCAGCACAGGCTGCTCTGGACAGCTGGTATCAGGCTCAGGCTGCAGGAGTCCTCCTACCCCACCCATCTTGTCAGCGACCCAGAGAGCCACTGGCCTGGTCTGGCCTAGGAGAGCTGATGTTACCCAGTCCGACATCCTGCCCACTCCCCACTTCCCTCAACAGAAGGATATGGGGATGTGCAGCCAATAACAGGAAAGTGAGAATCAAAGCCCCTGCCCACATCAGGGCCCTGAGTATTGACAGCTGCCCCAGCTCCACGCTCAAAGCTGACAAAAAGGCCTTGGAAAGATTGTGGAGGGCTCCAGGCATGTGTGCACGAGAGTGTAAATACATGCACGTATGTGCATGAACTTCACACAGGGGTGTGCGTGTGCCCTGACTGGTGGTACTTTCTATGAGCCTAAGTGTTGCAGAGTTGAGACCAAATTGTATGCTCAGGAATCTATGTGTCAGGGCAATACATCAGTCTATGGAAATAAGAAAGAGGTTGGGCCGGGCATGGTGGCTCACGCCTGTAATCCCAGCACTTTGGGATGCTGAGGAGGGCAGATCACAAGGTCAAGAGATCAAGACCATCCTGGCCAACATGGTGAAACCCCGTCTCTACTAAAAATACAAAAATTAGCTGGGTGTGGTGGTGTGTGCCTGTAGTCCCAGCTACTGGGAGGCTGAAGCAAAAGAATCACTTGAACCCAGGAGGTGGAGGTTGCAGTGAACCGAGATCGCGCCACTGCACTCCAGCCTGGCGAGAGAGTGAGACTCCATCTCAAAAAAGAAAGAGAGAGATCGATGTGCCTGTGTGACTGTAATATGAATGTGTAGGTGTGTGTGTTGGGGGGCGTCCTGGGTATAGGTGCAGTGGGAAACAGTATTTCACAGAGCCTAGAAATGCAGTTCTGGAGGCTGGGTCAGTAGTTCATGCCTATATGCCCAGCACTTTGAGAGGCCGAGGCAGGGGAATTGCTTGAGTCCAGCGATTTGAGACCAGCGTGGGGAACATAGCGACATCCCACTTTTTTTTTTCTTTTTTGAGGTAGAGGCTCCTGCAGTCACCCAGGTTGGTATGCAGAGGTGCAATCATAGCTCATTGCAGCCTCCAACTCTTAGAGATCTCATATTTGAGGTAAAATGAAAAAAAAAAATAGCCAGGTGTGGTGGTGTGTGCCTGTAATCCCAGCTACTCAGGAGGCTGAGGCAGGAGGATTGCTTGAGCCCAGGAGTTTGAGGCTGCAAATGAGCTGTGATTGCCACTGCACTCCAGCCTGGGTGATAGAACGAGATCCAGTCTTTAAAAAGAAAGGAAAAGTGGGAGCAGTGGCTCATGCCTGTAATCCCAGCATTTAGGGAGGCCGAGGTGGTTGGATCACCTGAGGTTGGGAGTTCTCGACCAGCCTGGCCAATGTGGTGAAACCCTGCCTCTACTGAAAAATCAGCTGGGCGTGGTATTGCATGCCTGTAATCCCAGCTATTCAGGAGACTGAGTCCGGAGAATCACTTGAACCCAGGAGGCGGAGGTTGCAGTGAGTCGAGATAGAGCCACCCTACTCCAGCGAGAGCATGACAGAGTGAGGCTCTGTCTCAAAAAAAAAAAAAAAACAAAAAAGAAAAATGCAGGTTCCAAGTTTAAATCTCTGCTCAGTCACTCAGTACCCATGGAGCCTCGGGGCATTGTTCAGACTCTCGGACGGCTGCTCTGCCGTGATGAGTGTTAGTGGGATTACGTTTGGGTTTGAGTGTGTGTGCGCTGAATTCAGCTCCTCCAGGCCGTCTTTCTAAATACCAGCCACGTCCTCTATTTCCATCAGTATCCTAGTCACAGTGTGTCCCTCTATCTTTTTGATCATGGTATTTCGTTTCAGTTTCCTCCACTAAAGGTCAGCTCCACTGGGGCAAGGGGTTTTGTTCTGTTTGTTGCTGTGTCCCTGGCACCTGGTACATAGTAGGTGGTGAATAAATATTGAATAGATGAATGCAGTGCTGTGTCTATATGCTATGTGGGGAAAGGTGGGCACTGGCAGAACACCAGGAGTTCCTAGAGGGCTGAGCTCTCAGTTCTGGTCTCTGTCCCCAGCTGTACACAACGCTTGCTTTCACCATCTTCTTCTTTTTTTTTTTTTGGTGAGAGTCTCACTCTGTCTCCCAGGCTGAAGTGCAGTGACGTGATCATGGGTCCCTGCAGCCCCGATTTCCTGGGCTCAAGCGATGCTCCCACCTCAGCCTCCCAAACATCTGGGATTACAGATGTGAGCCACTGTGCAGGGCCTTGATTTTGTAGAAATGTTGACATTCTGAGACTCACTGTCTCTTGTATCAAATTCAAGGGGGAGGTGGACTGGTTTATACTAAGCCTTCTTCCTAATCTACAGTTCTAGAATCTAGTCTTACATCTAATCCCCTCTTTAATACATTTAAGATTTTTTTTTTTTTTTTTGAGATGGAGTTTCGCTCTTGTCATCCAGACTGGAGTGCAATTGGCACTATCTCGGCTCACTGCAACCTCTGACTCCCAGGTTCAAGCAATTCTGAGGAGCTGGGACTACAGGTGTGTGCCACCATGCCCAGCTAAGGATTTATTTTTGTTTTTATTTCTTTTTTTAGAGACGGGTGTTGCTGGGATCCTCCAGCCAGTCTCCTAAGTAGCTGGGACTACAGGCTCACACTACAGTGCTAGGCTCATTCAACTTTTACTGAGCACCTACTGTGTGCCAGCCACTATTCTAGACCTGACCCTGCCCTCATGGAGCTCAGACCCAAGAAGGAAGGCAGGCAGAATCCAGAAAGCTCATTTAATGCTTTCTTTCTTTCCTTCTCTCTCTCTCTCTTTCTTTCTTTTTGAGACAGAGTCTTGCTCTGTTGCCCAAGCTGGAGTGCAGTGGCATGATTTTGGCTCACTGCAACCTCCTCCTGGGATTACAGGGGCGCACGACCACGCCCACCTAATTTTTGTATTTTTGGTAGAAATGGGATTTCACCATGTTGGCCTGGCTGGTCTCCAACTCCTGACCTCAAAGTGATCCGCCCACCTCAGCCTCCCAAAGTGCTGGGATAATAGGTGTGAGCCACCATGGCCTGCCCTCCTTTAATCTTGACTGCCTTTCTCCCTAGTCTCTCTGAGTCCGAGGATAGAATTTTAGTCTTCACAGTCTGAAATCACCCTCGGGGATCTGTCTGTTTATACGGGGATCCTGCTCCCTCACCAGCCCCCGCTGGGTTTGTAGGTTGCTGCTGCCCCAAAGCCTGGCCACAGTGCCCAGCACATAGTAGGCACTTGGGAAGCATATGTAAAATGAGCTAATAAATACAATGATGGCGCAAAAGCAGGCTCTTCGCGAACGAGATCTCGGAATCCTGGGTGTGTGTCATTACCCATTTTGCAGATGAGGACATTGACTCAGGAAGGCAAAGCTGCCTGCCGGCCCCGCAGCTCAGTGATAGGTGGCTATGGGATGTAGCAGAAGCAGCAAGGGTGGACCCCAAAAGCGTTCCCAATTCCCCCTACCCCCACCCCACAGGCAGGAGAGACACAGCAGCGTTTGCACAGATGGGGGTGGGTGGGCACCGGGGACAGAGGGACAGTGCAAAGCGACTTAGGGGTGTCTCCTTCTCAGTCCCCAGGGCTGGAAGTGCTGTGCTGGTGAATTAGGAAATGCTTGGCGTTGATGGGGACGCTTCCGGCGCCCTGTCCCCAGTTCTGGAAGCTGAGGCTCCGGGGACCCTGTTTTGCTGAAGCTGGGCAGCTCCAGGCTCCAAAGCCGGGAAGAGAGACCCCACGCATAACCGGGAATCCCCGACATCTGGGATTCTCTCCAAACACCCACAGCCTGATGACCGGGCCGAAGCCCTACAGGGCGTACGGTGGGGGTGGGGGTACGGCTTTCCTGGGGAGCCAGGGAACCCCGTACCGTCCTGGCCCCCTCCCTCCACGGCACTGGGTCCCCCTCCCCACCGCAGCTCGCAGCCCCAAGCTTACCTTGCGGGGGGGGGCTGGGGAGGGGATGCCCTGCCCTCTCCGGCCTGGGGGGCGGGAGGGGACGGGGGTGTCCAGACCCTTTGTTTGCTGGTGTGAGTGTGTATGTGTGTGTGCGATTGTGAGAGCCGCCGGGGTGTGGGTCCGTGCGCGCGCGTGCTCGGGCTGTGACGGCCTCTGATGTGCTGGACTGCCAGGGTGGAGAGTAAGAGGGAGGGGGAGGAGGGGGGACTCCCCCGCCGCTGCCCGCCCACTCGCGGGTTTGAATGAAGCGCGAGGAGGAGGGGCTGCGGCGGGAGGGCGTTTTTGTCCGATGGCCCCTCCCACTCAATGCACCGGGAAATCCCCCCACAACTGGAGACCTTCGCTCGCTCTCTCCAGGCCGCGCCTCCAACGTCTGCTCCAGGGGAGACTAGGAAGAGGCGCCCCTCACCCGGGTGGCTGGAGCTCCTCCTATCCAGCCTGCCCCACGACGGAGCACCCGTTAATCTGAGATAATCCTAGCCCGAGGCTGCAACACGGCCTGTTATCCCGGTATCAAAGCGTGGATTGGGTTGCATGAAAGTGTGAGGCTGGGGCCCGGCATGCTTAAAGTAATGGAGTCCTTAGAGCTCTGGCGGAGGAAGGGGACCCCCAGACGAACGGGGAGGGGCTACGCGTGGCCCTAGACTGTGACGACAAGGAAAGCCCCCTTCCACCCCTCCACGATCCCCCACCACCGAGCGCGGGGCCAGGAGTACGCGCTGCGGCCTAGACTCTAGCGACACCCAGCGGCCACGAGGGGAGGGGCGCCGAGATCCGCTGGGGGGGGTCTCCCGGAGATTTTGTGTGTGTGTGTGTGTGTGTGCGTGCGCGCGCGCGCGCGCGCGAGTCCTCGCTGCGAATGGCAGGAGCTGGAGGACGAGGAGAAGGCTGTTGTCCGAGGGGGGGAAACCCCAGCTTCCCAGGCGGGGCCACAATCTCCACTCCAGGTTTAACCCCGCAAGGGGAGGGCCATACTGCCCTCGATTTAGACACCCCCAGGGCAGGTCAGTCCTCCTCGAACTGAGACAGTCAGAGTCATCAAGCGCCCCTCTCAAGCGCAGGCTTAGGTCCCCGTTTACGAGGGGCGGGGGAGAGCCTTCCCCCTTGTCCCTACCCCTTGCAGACGTCACTGCGGCGTGGCTGAGGGGACAGTCCTCTCTGCCTCATCAACCGTCCTCTCGCTGCCGCCCCAAACGCCCACCGCGGGGCGTTGGGAGATGAGGAGGGCTTGGAGTTGTAGCGCCCACACGTATGCCCCCGCCCCGAGGAGGCCTAGCTGAGACCCAGCGCCCAAAGAGGTAGTCTCTGCGAGAACTCCTGGGGTCCGGAACACTTGCGCAGGGCCCTTTAAGGCAGGCTCGGTAGCCAGTGCCGCTGCCGCGGTTACTAAGGATGTGACGTCACGGGAGGGCGGGGTTGCCCGCAGTCGGGCGGAAGCGGAAGGGGCGGGGCTCGCTCGCCGAGTCTCCAGCTCTGCCGCCACCGCCACCACCCGAGCCGGAGCGGGGCTGGGCTGCCGAGGCAAGATGGTGGACTACAGCGTGTGGGACCACATTGAGGTGTCTGATGATGAAGACGAGACGCACCCCAACATCGACACGGCCAGCCTCTTCCGTTGGCGGCACCAGGTAAGGCGCGCTCGCCCATCCTTTTCCCCACTCCGGGGGAAGTTGTGATCCCCGATACTGCCCAGGGACCCCGCTGTTCACACCTAGGATTCTCACTCCCATAGTCTGGACTTTCAGAAGCCACGATTAAACTCCGGGACCCCAGTACCGCGGGGACTCTGAGTCCCTGCCCGGGATCTCCACCACCCCTCACCCCCACGCTCCAATTTTTTCGTGGGATTCCCTATTCACCCCGTAGAAGTTCTTCATAGTTTAGACTCCCCTAGAGCAGTCTTGGGGGGAATCTCCCTAATTCTGTCTGGGACCTAACGTTTACACCGAGAACTCTGCCTCGAGGTTTGGACCCCAAATTCTTCTGGATGATCCTGATCCTATTCGGGTATCCACTTACTATCTGGAATCTCCGATCGCCCCCTCCCCCACCTCTATAGTTTGGAACCCCAGTACTTTGGTCTGTCCTGGAATCTACTTTCTGGGATCTTGATCCCAGGTTCCCATTCAGATCCGGAGTCATCGCTCCTTTTCTAAACAGAACAAGGAACTCTGTGCTACCCTGATATTCTTGTTTCTGGCCTGGGACTCCTGCCCACACTCAGAACCCCCTTCCTAGAGTGTAGACCCTTGCCCCCTTAGGGTCTTTAGTCTCACCAAGGACTTGGGTTTTGGAACCTGGTTCCCGTCTGGATCTAACTACCAGCTCCACCCCGATGGAGCCTCACATTCCAGCCTCTCCTTTGGCCTCTGGTAGAGGCATTTCCCATTATACCAGGAAATCCTGCCCTCGTGGCTTCCGGTCCAGCCAGAGCCCCTGCCCCTACTTGGTATTGCCGACTCTGTCACCACCCACCTCCCAGACTGGCTTCCTGCATGAGCTTCAGCCAGTATTGGAAACTTTCCCCTAACTCAAGCCCAGGATCCCAAACCCACCCCACCTTATGTCCCCAGCCTGATGAGCTACTCTCTGATATCTAAATTGTCCCTGCTCTTATCCAGGGAGTCTCCTGGTCTGATTCTAAATTCACTAACCCTTCTTCTGTCTGTCTGCCCACAACAGAACCCCCAAATCCAGACTCCAGAATACCTGGGTGATCCATATTCTACCACCCCCTCAGTGCTCACAAGCCAATGAGGTGACTAAGACTTAAAGGTTTAACCTCTTGCTCCTCCAAATCAGAGCGCCTGCATCCACTTACCAGTGTCTGTTGTACTCTTTTTTTTTTTTTTTTGAGATGGTGTTTCTTGTCACCCAGGCCGGAGTGCAATGGCGCTGTCTTGGCTCACTGCATCCTCTGCCTCCCAGGTTCAAGTGATTCTCCTGCCTCGAGTCTCTTGAGTAGCTGGGATTACAGGCACGCGCCACCATGAGAGGCTTATTTTGTATTTTTAGTAGAGACGGGGTTTCTCTATGTTGATCAGGCGGATCTTGAACTCCCTACCTTAGGTGATCCACCCTCCCAAAGTACTGGGATTACAGGCATAAGCCACTGTGCCCAGCCATGTTGTACTCTTAAACTAGAGGCATATACCTCTCAGAACCTTCTAGTGAGGCTCTCTTACCCCGTCCTCCCATAGGCCAACTCCCCATCATTTATCCAGAAACAACCAGAAGGTCCCTTCTCCATCCTTCCAGAATACACCAGAATATGACATTAGTTTCTTCATCTGGCTCCCAGTCCCACCTCCAGACCTATTCCTTAAATCCTGAGTCTCCTGGGTAGTGTACCTGCCAAGCAAGCCACTGGAGTGTGGGAAGAAAGTTCTAGCGCTTCTATTTCTTGCTGTGTGTAACATTTTATTATGAAATATTTAAAACTTCTGCAAAGCTCCAAAGACTATTCTTGGGAAGACCTATTTCTGTCACATAAAGAGGTTAATCTTTACTACTGTGGAGAATGGTTTGGTCCTGCCGGGTGGGAGGGCCCCCTCCTGCAGCGTAGTATACCTGCCACACCCTCCTCCGTCTGGCACGGAGCTTTCCCTGTCCTGCCACTGAGAACCCAGTGGCCGTAGTGGTGCTTAAGGGAGGCAGGGGGCTTCAGTGTCTCCAGCATAGGTTCAAGGGCAGGCAAGCTTGGGTTCCAATCCCAGCCCTGCCCCTTGCTGCTTATTTCTTTGATGCGGCAAGACTCAAAAGAAACCCCTTTGAGGCCGTGTGAAACCTGGGATAATATGGCCCCACCTCTTGTGAGATCTTTCTTAAGAATGAATTAAGACTGGGTCAGGAAAACCTGGGGCAAGTCTGGAAGGAAGCATTGTGGAGGGGAAGGAGAGATTGTTGTGGTTCTGAGCACAGGCCTGACTAGGTTCAAATTTTGGCTCTGTCTGTATCACTCACGTGCTGATGACTGCCAGGGAATTGTTTGATCACTGTGCCTCAGTTTCCCCACCTGAGAATCTGAATGATGTCCACCTCCTCACAGGGTTGTTGTAAGGGTTCCCTTATTCATTTAATATCTGTAATACTTTTGCAGCAGTAGTTTCAATAATTATTGCTTATCATTAAAAAAAAATTCTGTAGTCCAATGTGGTGTTGCATGCCTATAGTCCCAGCTACTCAGGACGCTGAGGCAGAAGGATCACTGGAACCCAGAAGTTCAAGATCATCCTGAGCAACACAGCAAGGCCTTGTCTTTTCTTTTCAAAAAAAAATTTTTTTCCCCGAGACAGGGTCTTGCTGTGTCACCCAGGCTGGAGTGGAGTGGTGCCATCTTGGCTCACTGCAACTTCCACCTCCCAGGCTCAAATGATCCTCCTACCTCTGCCTCCTGAGTAGCTGGGACCACAGATGCACACCACCATGCCTGGCCAATTTTTGTATGTTTTGGTAGAGACAGGGTTTCATCATGTTGCCTAGGCTGGTTTCAAATTCCTGGGCTCAGGCAGCCCACCCACCTCAGCCTCACAAAGTGCTGGGAATATAGGTGTGAGCCACCGCACCCAGCCTAAGACCTTGTCTCTTAAAAAAAAAAATTCCAAAGGTTCCAGAAGGGGACAAATGAGTCCTTTTTCCCAGCCCCAGCTAGCCACCTCTCCTACCCATGGACAGCTGCTATTAGTGTTTTCTTCTAATGAGTTGTATGACATTGAGATTCTGTGAGCTTCAGTTTCTCTAACTGTAACGTAGGAGGGTAGTGACACCTGTGGGCCCTGCTTACTGAGGTGGCTTCTCCCCTGCCCAGCCTGCTACAGCCTCTCCTGGATAGGAGGTGTAAAGCCAGGCTGGGCAGGCTGCCGCCCTCACCAACTCCAAGAGGCCTTTTTTAGCTGCGGCCTCCCTGGCGGCTGCTCAGAGGACACTGGGGAGAGTGGTAGCTGCCCAGCAGTGGCTTGCAGGGTGGCGGTCAGGCTCCAGGGTGACATAGGCCCATCGTGGAGAAAGGGAAGTGCAGAGGCCACAAGCTGCTTTTTTTTTTAAGATGGAGTCTTGCTCTATTGCCTAGGCTGACGTACAGTGGTGCCATCTCGGCTGACCGCAACCTCCGCCTCCCGGGTTCAAGCAATTCTCCTGCCTCAGCCTACCAAGTAGCTGGGATTACAGGTGCACACCACTATGCCTCGCTAATTTTTGTGGGTTTGTTTTGTTTTGTTTTGAGACAGAGTCTTGCTCTGTCGCCGGGCTGGAGTTCAGTGGTGCAATCTCAGCTCACTGCAATCTCCACCTCCTGGGTTCAAGCAATTATCCTGCCTCAGCCTCCTGAGTAGCTGGGATTACTGGCGCATGCCACCACACCCGGCTAATTTTTGTATTTTTAGTAGAGATGGGGTTTCGCCATGTTGGCCAGGATGATCTTGATCCCTTGACCTTGTGATCTGCCCGTCTCCGCCTCCCACAGTGCTGGGATTACAGGCGTGAGCCATTGCACCAAGCAACTTTTTTTTTTTAAGAGATGGAGTCTCACTATGTTGCCCAGGCTGGTCTCAAATTCCTGAGCTCAAGAGGTCTTCCCACCTCAGCCTCCCAAGTCCTGGGATTAGAGGCATGTGCCACTGTGCCTGGCCTGCAGCTGCTCTTACTTATCTCATGAGGTGTAGCCTTTTTTTTTTTTTTGAGACAGGGTGTCACTCTGTCGCCCAGGCTGGAGTGCAGTGGCGTGATCTTGGCTCACTGCTACTTCTGCTTCTGGGGTTCAAACAATTCTCCTGCTTCAGCAGCTGGAATAGCTGGGATTGCAGGCACCTGCCACCATGCTCAGCTAATTTTTGTATTTTTAGTAGAGATAAGGTTTCACCATGTTGACCAAGCTGGTTTCAAACTCCCGATGTTAGGTGATCCACTTGCCTCGGCCTCCCTAAGTCTTGGGATTATAGGCGTGAGCCACCACTCCCAGTCATGTAGGGCTTCTTTTTTTTTTTTTTTTCAAGGCAACAAATGGGGGTTCCCCTTCAGTTTCTTTTCTTTTCAAGCATGTAGGCCTTCTTGACCCCTTATCCTTATGGGGGAAATTGAGGCTCATGCTAGCTGTGTCAGTCCCCTTTGGTATTAGAATAGGGGCCAGCTCTGCCTGGCCCTGCCCTAGAACCTGGGGATACAGCCTCATACAAGGCACAGAAATGAGTCAGCAGACCATTTGGGTGACAGTGACAAGGACGGAGATGGTAACAGTGGGACTCACTTACTGTGTTGGAAGCATATTCCATGGAGTTACTCATTCAGTCTCACAGTGATCCTGGGAAGACTCCGTTTCACTGAGGGGAAGACTCAGGCCAGGAAAGGTTTCAGTGACATTGCCAAAGTTCCATCTCCTGTCAGTGGCAGAGCTGGGCGCTGTGACCTCATAGTAACAACCACTCCCAGTTATTGAGCATGTACTCTGGGCCAGAAATCAAGTAAGGGTTTGAAGGACATTTCCTTTTTTAAGCCCCAGAATAGTCCCCAGAGAGAAAGAGAGAAGAGAGAGAGAGATTGTCTCTTTGCACAGATGGTAATGACCTGGCTAGCACAGGATGGGCGTGTGCCCGGGGCCCGCATGGCTCTAGCACAGGATGGGCGTGTGCCCGGGGCCCGCATGGCTCTGGACATTCAACTTTAATCATCACCTTTGTTTCTCCCGATACAAGCTTGTGCCATCAGCATGGTTGACTGTGTTTGACAGATGAGGAAACTGAGGTTCCAGAAGGTTAGGAGATGGCCCAGGGACACTGAGCCAGTACATGGTGGCTGTGGGTTAGGACCCCAGGGCCGGTGCCCCAAGGCTGTCCTCCAGAACCCTCACCACATCACCAGATGGTCACAGTTGGTCCTTTGGGGGATCAGTGGTGCGCCAGCCAGGGGGCATTTGGGGAAGGTTCTGTCGAAGCTGAGGTTTGGGTGCAAAGCAGGTAAGGGGACCACAGAGGCCAAGAGACAAGAGAGAGCCTGTGCTTTCAGGGAACCATGAGGGCCAGCATCTGCCTGGGACCCAGGACCAGGATGCGGGGATCAGGAGTCCCATCTGAATTCAGACCCCCCGCAGGGCGTGGTAGTGGGGAGGGCTGTGGTGATGCACAGGCTTCACAGGCCTCTCTGGCGGCAGCTATGACTGGATTGGGGAAGGGCAGTGATCGAAGGTGGTGGCACATTTCAGGGTTTGATTAGTGGCTCTGGACAAAGCAGGCCCCACTGAGAGTCAGGAGGGATGCTGGTAGAGCATGCAGGGGTCTCAGGAGAGGCCTGAACAATCTGATGGGGCCCAGATGGAGGTCTGAGCGAGATAGGGAGTGAGGCACTATTATCAGCAGAAAGAGGAGGTGCCTGGGGCTGGGGTACTTGGGAAACAGCTGGACACCAAGCTGGGGCTCAGCAGGGCATGCTGGGCTGGAGACAGAGCCAAGGGGTCCTTGACAGTGATCCTGGGGCAAGGCTATGGGTGGACCAAAGAAACATCTAGAAGGGGGCCTGGTGCCTTCTAGATGCCTGTAATCATGCCTGTAATCCCAACACTTTCGGAGGCTCAGGTGGGTGGATCACTTGAGGTCAGGAGTTCAAGACCAGGCTGACCAATATGGTGAAACCTCATCTCTACTAAAAATACAAAATTAGCTGGGAGTAGTGGCACATGCCTGTAATCTCAGCTACTTGGGAGGCTGAGGCAGGAGAATCGCTTGAACCTGGAGGTGGAGGTTACAGTGAGCTGAGATGGCACCATTGCACTTGAGCCTGGGCAACAAGAGTGAAACTCCGTCTCAAAAAAAAAAAAAGAAGAAGAAAGGGAAGAGAGGCAGGGCCTTTGTTGAGGGAGAATACCACAGAGGACCTGGTTCTGGGGAGGAAAGATGGTGAGTTCGGTTTTGGGCATGGAGTTAGAGATGCCTGCAGGGACACCAGGCAGAAGCAGCTTGATGGGGGTTGGGGGTGGGGGGAGGAGTAGGGAAGGGGACCAAGTGTGGGCGAGGGTGGCTCCAGGTCAGAGGGGAAGGCTGGCAGCTGGAGACAGTGTTTAGGCCTCCACTGGGCATCTCATTACTTATTCACTCAACAAGCATTTCCTGGCCAGGCACAGTGGCTCACGCCTATAATTTCAGCACTTTGGGAGGCTGAGGCAGGTGGATGGCTTGAGCACAGGAGTTTGAGACCAGCCTGGGCCACATGGCAAAACGCCATCTCTACAAAAAAAAAAAAAATTAGCCAGGCAGGATGGTGTGCACCTGTAGTCCCACCTGCTTGGGAGGTTGAGGTAGGAGGATTGCTTGAGCCTAGGAGCTCGAGGCTGCAGTGAGCCATGGTCGCATCCTGCACTCTAGTCTGCATGACGAGGAGACGTTGTTCAGACAAAACCGAACAAACAGAAACAAAAAAAACAAGCATCTGTTGAGTCCCTGCTTTGCACCAGGCCAAGTTCCTGGCTCTGGGGACAAAGTGGTGAACACATTCCCACATGTACAGAGCAGGGCTTGGAGGGAGGCAGTATGCAGAACATGATAAACAATTATCATATGATGTCAGTGGTGGCTGGTGCTGAGGAGGCAGGGAATGCCAGGCAGGGGTGGGGGGAGGTTGCCATCATCAGGAAGGTGGTTGGGGAAGGGGTCCTCGCTAAGGCAACATGGAGCTCAGATGGCTCGGGTGCCGTGGAGTCAGCTGTGGCGGGATCTGAGGGAAAAGCACTCCAGGTAGTAGGAACAGCCAGTGGGAAGGCCTTAAGGTTAGAGAAAGAAGTCGGCTCCGCAGAATGCAGTGGCTCCTGCCTGTAGTCCCAGCACTTTGGGAGGCCAAGTTAGAAGGATTGCTTGAATCCAGGACTTCAAGACCAGGCCGGGCAACATGGTGAAACCCCGTCTTTACTGAAAATATGAAAATTAGCTGTGCATGGTGGTGCATGCCTGTAGTCCCAGCTACTCAGGAGGCTGAGGTGGGAGGATCGCCTGAGCCCAGGGAGGTCAAGGCTGCAGTGAGTCATCTTCCGGCCACTGCACTCCAACCTGGACAACAGAGCGAGACCCTATCTTTAATAAAAGGGCTCAAGAAAAGATGAGAAAAGTGAGGGACCAGTGTGGATGGAAGGAGGAGTGACAGGGCAGATTGTGCAGGCCCACATAGGCTGTAGTGACGACTTGGGCTCTGTTCTGAGTGAAATGGGAGCCGCCAGGGTTCTCAGCAGAGGATGGAGGAACCTGACCCTCTTGGGTGTGCACTGGCACCTGTTGGGGCAAGGAAGTTGGGAGCCCAGGGCACTGGAGGTGGACGCAGATTTTTTCCCGGGGCTATCTCAGGAGCAGGGGTTGAGTATGGGGCCGGGGGTAAGGGACAGGCCGCCCACCAGAGTGACAGGCCGTTCCTGCCGGCAGGCCCGGGTGGAGCGCATGGAGCAGTTCCAGAAGGAGAAGGAGGAACTGGACAGGGGCTGCCGCGAGTGCAAGCGCAAGGTGGCCGAGTGTCAGAGGAAGTTGAAGGAGCTGGAGGTGGCCGAGGGCGGCAAGGCAGAGCTGGAGCGGCTGCAGGCTGAAGCGCAGCAGCTGCGCAAGGAGGAGCGAAGTTGGGAGCAGAAACTGGAGGAGATGCGCAAGAAGGAGAAGAGCATGCCCTGGAACGTGGACACGCTCAGCAAAGATGGCTTCAGCAAGGTGTGCAGGGCGGGCGGGCAGTGCGCATGCGCAGCCAGTGAGTGTGCAGCCAGGACGCATGCGCACCCAATGCCAAGTCAGGGGAGGACCCCGGTGGTGAAATTGAAGAGTGTGGTGTGGGGGTTGGGGGATGGACGGGGGCCATGTAGGGAGGGGGGACAGGCTTGGGGAGCCGGGCGGATGAAACACCCCACCGGTCCCCTCCTCTGATCTGCCCCAAGGCCCATGCCCACGCTCCCGCCACCTTGATGCTCATGGCTTCGTCACCACCTCCGCCGTGGATGGGATGGGCGCTGCGGCCACGGCCCGTCCGGCCGCGCTCGAGGCGCTCCGCAGCCTTGCCCCAGCCCACTCCCCTTCTCACCCTACCACAGAGCATGGTCAATACCAAGCCTGAGAAAGCAGAGGAGGACTCAGAGGAGGTGAGGGAGCAGAAACACAAGACCTTCGTGGAAAAGTATGAGAAACAGATCAAGCACTTTGGTGAGTGGGGCGTGTGGGTTATGGGGGAGCCAGGTCAGGGCAGGCCCTTTGTCTCCAGGGCCCTCCAGCACCTTGCCAGCATCTTCCCACAGGCATGCTCCGCCGCTGGGATGACAGTCAAAAGTACCTGTCGGACAATGTCCACCTGGTGTGCGAGGAGACGGCCAATTACCTGGTCATCTGGTGCATTGACCTAGAGGTGGAGGAGGTGAGTGGAGCTTTCCCAGGGCTGTGAAAAGGCGCTGCCACACGCCGTCACTTGGTGACACTGCCTGTTGTCCCTGGTAGAAATGTGCACTCATGGAGCAGGTGGCCCACCAGACAATCGTCATGCAGTTTATACTGGAGCTGGCCAAGAGCCTGAAGGTGGACCCCCGGGCCTGCTTCCGGCAGTTCTTCACTAAGATTAAGGTAGGGGCTGTGAGCTGCCAGGTGGCCAGAGGCCCCCTCCTCAGGGGACCAGCCTACAGTGCTCTGGGCAAGGCCAACTCCTGTCCACAGGGACTCAAACCCCTCCAATTGCAGCATCCTAGTTAGGAGACGGCGGGGGCAGGGAGGGTAGAGAGGTGGGCTGATCCTGCCAGACTTTAAAAGTGGACATCAGGCCAGGCTTGGTGACTGAGTACTGTAGTCTCAGCTATTTGGGAGCCTGAGACAGAGGACCACTTGAGCTCAGGAGCTTGTCAGCTATGGTGTGCCACTGCATTCCAGCCTGGGTGACAGAGTAAAACCACATTAAAAAAAAAAGTGGACACTGGGCACAGTGGCTTATGCCTGTCATCCCAGTACTTTGGGAGGCCAAAGCGAGCAGATCACCTGAGCCTGGGAGGTCGCGACCAGCCTGACCAACATGGAGAAACCACGTCTCTACTAAAAATACAAAATTAGCTGGGCATGGTGGTGCATGTCTATAATCCCAGGTACTCAGGAGGCTGAGGCAGGAGAATTGCTTGAACCTGGGAGGCAGAGGTTGCAGTGAGCTGAGATTGCGCCATTGCACTCCAGCCTGGACAACAAGAGCAAAGCTCCGTCTCAAAAAAATAAAAAGTGGGGGCAGTAGGATGTGCTGAAGGTCCCCATGTGGATTTGGGGGTAATATGGGTGTCTCTAGGGTTTTGAGGGTTTTTTTTTGAGACAGAATCTTGCTCTGTCACCCAGGCTGGAATGCAGTTACTCGATCTGAGCTCAGTGCAACCTCTGCCTCCCCGGTTCAAGTGATTCTCATGCCTCCACCTTCCAAGTAGCTGGGATTACAGGCACCTGCCAGCCTCTAGAGTTTTAACCTGTGCATCTGCAGGAACAGGGCTACTCTTACCAAGATTGGGGAGACCAAGGACAAGGCAGGCTGGAGGGACACTCAGAGGCTGGGAGGTGGCTATGTTAAGTTAGAGGCGCCTATGCAGGGACACTGAGGACGTGAGTGTCACACATCTGCGGTACAGCAGGGCTCCCAAGCAGGTGGTCTTTAGCAAATGCCAGATGAGGTCCCTGGCTGGGGGAGCCCAAGACTTAGGGACCCCCTCATGTAGGTCAGGAACAGACTTGGGATGCCTCTGAAGCGCCTCTGAGGAGCTGCGGCTGGAGGGTCTTGGGCTCCCCAGTCCCTTCTGAGCATTGGGCTGGGTCCAGTGAGCACTGCCCAACCCCCGTAGACAGCGGATCGCCAGTACATGGAGGGCTTCAACGACGAGCTGGAAGCCTTCAAGGAGCGTGTGCGGGGCCGTGCCAAGCTGCGCATTGAGAAGGCCATGAAGGAATACGAGGAGGAGGAGCGCAAGAAGCGACTTGGCCCCGGCGGCCTGGACCCTGTTGAGGTCTACGAGTCCCTCCCGGAGGTGCGGTTCCCCAGGCCAGGCGGGCAGCAGGAGGGCCCTGAGCAAGACCCCCAGGGCCACAGGGACCCAGCCCCTGACCCCAGCTCCTCTGCACCCCCAGGAACTCCAGAAGTGCTTCGATGTGAAGGATGTGCAAATGCTGCAAGACGCCATCAGCAAAATGGACCCCACCGTGAGTAACCCTGGCCCTCCATGCCTTTCCAGCAGGCAATGTGTCTCCCCCAGCCCTGGGTCCCAAGTCTCTGAAGCCGGCTGGTGAAAGTACTCCTCCGAGGCTTCTCCAAGGAGTCAGGGGGGGTCACGTCACCTTGGCATACACCCATATTTATTGAGCACCTACTGTATCCCAACATCCAGCAGATGATTGCTGAGCTTTCAGTGCATGTCCCTCGTGACTGACAGTCACTGTTGCTGTGATGGCGTCCAGCCTCAGTTTCCTTATCCAGACCACGTTTTCTCTCAATATCAGCCCACAAAATGTTTGGGGAGGGGAGCCGAGCACATGGCAGTGACTGGTAAATGCTGGATGTTAATAGGGTTTTGACTGCTTGTTTTTGAGAGACAGGGTCTTCCTCTCTTACCCTGGCTGCAACTTTGACCTCCCAGGCTGAAGTGATCCTCCCACTTCAGCCTCCCCAAGTAGCTGGGATTATAGGCTGACACCATGACATCCGGCTAACTTTTTAAAAACATATGTTTTTATAGAGACAGGGTCTCACTGGCTATAATTTTGGAAGTGGTAATAGAGTTTGAATCTAAGTAGGACACACTTTAACTCTGTTCCTACCACTTGGCTCACTGGTTGGCCACACTGGTTTTCTCATCTGTAAAATGGGTCTAGTTGCAGGACTGGCCCTGAGGTTCTAGAAGCTTCTATGGGCATAGCCACCTAGACCAGGTCCTGCAAACTGCACCTCGAGGACTCACTGCCTATCTTTTATAATAAAGTTTTATTGGAACAAAGCAGCCACGCTCAATTGTTTCCCTATCACCTACAACCGATCTTGCTCTACCGCAGCAGAGTTGAGTCGTGACGGAGACCATATGGCTTGCGGAAACAGAAATACTTAGTCTGTCCCTTTACCAAAAAAATTTGCTGGCTTTTTTTCTAGATTGCACTATCTAAATTTAAATTAAAGTTAAATAAAATTTAAAGTACCAGCTGGGCAGCACTTCGGGAGGCTGAGGCAGACAGATCACCTGAGGTCAGGAGTTCAAGAGCAGCCTGGCCAATGTGGCAAAATCCTATCTCTACTAAAAGTACAAAAATTAGCCAGGCGTTGTGACAGGCGCCTGTAATCCCAGCTACTCTGGGGGCTGGGGCAGGAGAATTGCTTGAACCTGGGAGGCAGAGGTTGCAGTGAGCCGAGATCACACCACTACATTCCACTCTGGGAGACAGAGTGAGACGGTCTCTATATCAATAAATTAGTAAAATAAAATGAGCAGGAAGCCAGCTTGGGAATGTGCAGGGGACAACAGGGTGGCCACCAGGTGGCAGCCCTGCCTCACCTGCCTGCTCTTCTCCTTGCAGGACGCAAAGTACCACATGCAGCGTTGCATTGACTCCGGCCTCTGGGTCCCGAACTCTAAGGCCAGCGAGGCCAAGGAGGGGGAGGAGGCGGGTCCCAGGGACCCGCTGCTGGAAGCTGTTCCCAAGACAGGTGATGAGAAGGATGTCAGCGTGTGACCTGCCCCAGCTGCCACCACCATCTGCTTGCAGGCCCCTATGCGCCCCTTTTCAGCAAACAGATAGATGCCATCTCCCCTGCTCCTGGCCTCCTCCACTTGCGCTGCTCGGCCCAGCCTGGGGGGCCCACCCAACCGTCCCTGCCCTCTCCACTGTCCCCACTCTCCAGTGCCCATTCAAGTCTCTGCTTTGAGTCAAGGGGCCTCACTGCCTGCAGCCCCCCATCAGCATTATGCCAAAGGCCCGGGGGTCCGGGGAGGGGCAGAGGTCGCCAGGCTGGTCCATCAGGTAGTAGGGGAGGGTCCCCAGCCAAGGGGTCGGCTCTGGTCACTGGGCTCTGTTTTCACTGTTTGTCTGCTGTCTGTGTCTTTTATTTGGCAAACAGCAGTGATGTTCCAATAAAGGATTTCAGATGCTCTGGGCTGCTGTGAGGGCTGTTCAGGCAGCCCATCTCTTGTGGGTGGGAGTGAATCCTGGTGGAATATTGGAAGCTGGGTCTTGGTACTCTAGTCCTTTGCCCTCCAGCCGTTGTGGGTCCTTGCCTCACACATGCTGCTCCACCACTTTGAACAGTCTTCCTCCAGAGGCCCTAGAAGCCTACCACCCTCAGTTCTCACCCACCCACTCCCCTGTCCCTACTTTGACCTCCAGAATACAGGGTTGCCCAAGCTGATCACCGCCAGAGGGCAGCAGTGATCTGTAAACCAAGTCACGTTTTCTAGGGTTTTGCGAATTTTGCCTGCCCACGCCCACCTTTGCCCCTGCTGCCCCCTTAGAGCTTCCTACCATCATTTGGGGCAGCATCCTGGGCTATATCTCTCCGCCCTATGGCCAGTGCTGCCCTCCAACATTTTTGTTGTTGAGACAGTCTAGCTGTTGCCCAGGTTGGAGTGCAGTGGTGTGATCTCTGATCACTACAACCTCCGCCTCCCGGGTTCAAGTGATTGTCCTGCCTCAACCTCCTGAGTAGCTAGAATTACAGGTTCCCGCCACCACACCTAGCTAATGTTTGTATTTTGGCAGAGATGGGGTTTCACCATATTGGTCTCAAACTCCTGGCCTCAGGTGATCCACCCACCTTGGCCTCCCAAAATGCTGGGATTACAAGTGTGAGCCACTGCACCTGGCCCCCCACAAACAGATCTTGATTCTGACCGCTGCCTTTTATCCCCATGGCCTCCAGGTCCCCATCCCCTCTGGCTCTAATACCTGCCCCAGCCTCTTTCCCATTGCCCACTACAAGCCAGCCCTCTCCACAGGCAGCAGCCAGAGCGCACCTGTGAACACAGGGGTCAGGCAAGGTGCCACCTCTGCTCAAAAGCCTCACAGGACTCTCCTCGCTAGGAGCAGAAGCGAAAGTCCTCCCTGCAGCCGGCCAGGCCCCAGCACCAGCTGCCTATTACCTCCCTGCCCTGTTGTCCCCAACCCCATACTGGCCCTTGAGCACTTGAAATTTGTCTTCTTGGTGTGGCCTTGGGTGACGTACCGAGCCTCAGTGTCCCTGCTCTTAGTGATGGCTAACATCATCACACTAGTGTCCTCCTCAGGCTGTAGTGAGGGGAAGAGTGAGGCAGTAGTTCAGACAAGCACCTGGCACTCATATCCGTGGAATGTGGACCTTGGCACTTGGCGTTCCTCTGAAAAAGTCACAAATATTTCTGCCATAAGAAAAGGCTTAAAGAAGAGTGTATGGCCAGGAGCAGTGACTCACGCCTGTAATCCCAACACTTTGAGAGGCCAAGGTGGGAGGATCGCTTGAGCTCCGGAATTCAAGACCGGCCTGGCTACCGTGACGAGACTCCGTCTGTACTAAGAACACAAACATTAGCCAGGCATGGTGACACGTGCCTGTAGTCCCAGCTACTCGGAGCTGAGGCAGGAGAACTGATTGAACCCAGGATGTGGAGGTGGCAATGAGCCCAGATCACACCACTGCACTCCAGTGTGGGTGATAGAGTCTCCATCTCAAAAAAAAAGTGCAGCGCTGGGCGAACAGGGGCACACCTACAGTTACAGTTACTTGGGAGGCTGAGGCAGGATTGCTTGAGTCTGGAAGGTCGAGGCTGCAGTGAGCTACAAAGTACAATAAACACCCAGGTACACATCAGTTTAAGACATGAAATATCGGCTGGGCCGAGTGGTGGCTCACACCTGTAATCCCAGCACTTTGGGAAGCTGAGGCAGGAGGACCACAAGGTCAGGAGATGGAGACCATTGTGGCCAACACAGTGAAACCCCGTCTCTACTAAAAATGCAAAAAATTAGCCGGACATGGTGGTGCACGCCTGCAACCCCAGAGACTGAGGCGGGAGAATTGCTTGAACCTGGGAAGCAGGGGTTGCAGTGAGCCAAGATTGTGGCACTGCACTCCAGCCTGGGCGACAGAGACTCTGTATTAAAAAAAAAAAAAAGACACGAAATATCTCAGATCCAGTAGATACTTCTGCCCACCTCTCCTGGGGGACATCACCTCTGAGGGGACTGCTTGTCACTCAGACCACAGATCAATGCCACTTCTCTGAGGCCCTCCTTGATCTACTTGAATTGCCCTCATGCTCGGTCACCAAACCTGCCTCACGTGCCCTGCTTTGCACCGACCTGTGTATTGTCACTTCCCATGTGCTGTGGGTGCCACAAGAGCACGGACCTTTTCTTGTAATATCCACAGCGCCAGAAAGGGGACTTTCCGGAAACATTTGCAAAAACACTGGATAAAAACCCCTGGAAAGCTGTTGTGCCCAAACCGATCACCACCAGGGGGCAGGAGTGAGCTGCAAATCTAGTAACTTTCCTTCGTGCTTTGTACATTGAGTGAGAACGGCAGGTTGCGGGCTGTAGGGCTCCTGGAGCCTTGAATGAGCCTCACACGTCGTCCAAGATATTTTTATTTTATTTATTTTTAAGAATCAGGGGTCTCTCCATGTTGCTCATGCTGGATTTGAACTGAGCTCAAGCAGTCTGCCAGCCTCGGCCTCCCAAAGTGTTGGGAGTGTGTGCCCAAAGTGTCACAGGCCAGTGTGCCCTGCCAAGTTAACATTTTAATTTTTGTTCATCATAGACATTTTGGTGTTAATTTCGGTTTGCATTTCTGGTTATTGAAGGTTTTGTTTGTCTTTTGTGAGACATCCATCACCCAGGCTGGAGTGCAGTGGTATAATCTTGGGCTCACTGCAACCTCTGCCTCCTGGGTTCAAGCGATTCTCCTACCTCAGCCTCCCAAGTAGCTGGCATTACAGGCACCTGCCCACCATGCCTGGCTAAGTTTTGTATTTTTTGTAGAGACGGGTTTCACCACGTTGGCCAGGCTGGTCTCGAACTCCTGATCTCAAGTGATCTGCCCGCTTTAGCCTCCCAAAGTGCTGGGATTACAAGGGTGAGCCACCGCACATAGCAGCTGGTTATTGAAGTTCCTGGCACCCTTTTTACTTTTGTACCTCACCTTAGCACTGGCACTGGTACTGGTAGAGACACGGGGATGAAGGTGTCAGATTTTCTCAGGAGGTAGAGTGGCACAAACTCATCCTCCCTGCCCATCTGCCCACCCAGTTCCCTGCCACTCCTTTCAGAGTTTCGTTTTGGAAAATTGTATATATTCTTTTTTTTTTTTTTTTCTTGAGACGGAGTTTCACTCTTGTTACCCAGGCTGGAGTGCAATGGCGCGATCTCGGCTCACCGCAACCTCCGTCTCCTGCGTTCAGGCAATTCTCCTGCCTCAGCCTCCTGAGTAGCTGGGATTACAGGTGCACACCACCATGCCCAGCTAATTTGTTTTTTTGTATTTTTAGTAGAGACGGGGTTTCACCTTGTTGACCAGGATGGTCTCAATCTTTTGACCTCGTGATCCACCTGCCTCGGCCTCCCAAAGTGCTGGGATTATAGACGTGAGCCACCGAGTCCGGCTGGAAAATTGTATGTATTCTTATCCATTCCCCTCCTCCATTTTTTTTTTCCCAGACAATATCTCATTCTGTCACCTAGGCTGGAGTGCATAGCCCACTGAAAGCTCCATCTCTCAGGCTCGGGTTGCCCTCCCATCTCAGCCTTTGAGCATCTGGGACTACAGGCGAGTGCCACCATACCTAGCTAATGGTTAACTTTTTTGTAGAGACATGGTCTTACTAAGTTGCAGGCTGGTCTCAAGCTCCTGGGCTCAAGGGATCCTCCTGCCTTGGCATCTCAAAGTGCTGGAATTACAGGCATGAGCCACCTTCCCCAGCCTTTTATTTTTAAGATGGGATCTCCCTCCATCACCCAGGCTGGAGTGTAGTGGCACAATCATAGCTCACTGCAGCCTCTAACTTCTAGGCTCCGTAATCTCCTGAGTAGCTGAAATTACAGCCAAAAGACATTGCATCTGGCTATCCACCACCAATCCTTTTTTTTTTTTTTTGAGATGGAGACCTGCTCTATTGCCCAGGCTGAAGTGCAGTGGCACCATCTTGGCTCACTGCAACCTCAATCTCCCAGGTTCAAGCGATTCTCCTGCCTCAGCCTCACATACAAGGATGGACCACCACACCCAGCTTATGAAGTCTATTAACTCATTTGATGCCCCTGATATGCCTCTGGGTTTGGGACTCTAAATAACCACATCTTGCAGAGGAGGAAACTGAGGCACAGTTAAGGGACCACCCAGGAGCACGCAGTAATGGAGCTGGGACTTGAACTCAGCCCGTCTGGTGCCAGCCTTCATGTGTGTAAGTTGCTTCTGTGTAACCTTTCAGGCCAACACTGAGTGTCCCAATTGGGGCTGCTCCTGAGAATTTTCTAGAGAACACAGGTTCGCACGTGTGCCTAAAGGACCATAGGATTTTTATGGAAAGATTCCCAGGAGGCCAGGCACAGTGGCTCAGGCCTGTAATCCCAGCACTTTGGGAGGCCAAGGCAGGCGGATCACCTGAGGTCAGGAGTTTGAAACTGGCCTGGCCAAGATGCAAAACCCCATCTCTATTAAAAACATGAAAATTAGCTGGGTATGATGGTGGGCGCCTGTAATCCCAGCTACTCGGGAGGCTGAGGCAGGAGAATCCTTTGAACCCAGGAGGTGGAGGTTGCAGTGATCCATTGCATTCCAGCCTGGGCAACAAGAGTGAAACTCCATCTCAAAAAAAAAAAAAACAAAACAGATTCCCAGGAAACCCATTCCCCAAAGGAGGAGACTGGCTGTTCCCTGAACTCTTGGATTCATCAAAACACAAAGGGGGCCGGGCGCGGTGGCTCACGCCTATAATCCCAGCACTTTGGGAGGCTGAGGCGGGTGGATCACGAGGTCAAGAGATAGAGACCATCCTGGTCAACATGGTGAAACCCCGTCTCTACTAAAAATACAAAAATTAGCTGGGCATGGTGGTGTGCGCCTGTAGTCCCAGCTACTCGGGAGGCTGAGGCAGGAGAATTGCTTGAACCCAGGAGGCGGAGGTTGCGGCGAGCCGAGATCTTGCCATTGCACTCCAGCGTGGGTAACAAGAGTGAAACTCCGTCTCAAAGAAAAAAAAACACACACACAAAGGTATTTTACTTTTAATTCATAAATTATTGGCTTTTCCCAGGTCCCGTGGGGGCTCTCTCCCTGCAGCCCCCGAAGGACCAAAGGAAGCCCCCAGCTTTTGTTCCTTCCTGAAAACCTACCGTAGTGGTGTGGCCAACTATCCTGGCTTGCCCAGGACTGCCCCAGTGCTAGCATGGAAAGCCCCCATTGGGGAACCCCCCGAGTCCTGGGAAACCCCAGCCTGTTAGTCATGGGTGAGGCCTGGGGCCTCCCTTAAGGGGCAGGTCTGGCATGTGGGAGTTTGGGAGGAGGCCAGGGCCTTGGCAGAGTAGCCTCCTTAGCCTCTTATCTTCGGTTGTCAAGTGGGGTTGCTGATACCACTCACAAAGAATCTGAGAAGGCCCAGGGATTGCTAAATACCCGCCCTAGGCCCAGTGTCCAGGCTGGGAAAATGTCAGCTATTCCATTTCTTTCTTTCTTTATTTGACAGGGTCTTGCTCAATTGCCCAGGTTGGAGTGCAGTGACGCAATCATAGCTCATTGCAACCTCAACCTCTGGACCCAAGTGACCCTCTCACCCCAGCCTCCCCAGTAGCTGGGACTACAGGCCTGTATCACCATGTCCTGCTAATTTTTAAATTTTCTGTAGACACGGGGTTTCACTATGTTGCCCAGGCTGGTCTGGAACTCCTGGGCTCAAGCAATCCTCCTGCCTCTGTCTCTCAAAGTGCTGGGATTACAGGCGCCAGCCACCATACCCAGCTTATCGTTAGAATGCATTATTATTACTGGGAGTATGACTAGCATTGTTATTAGTAGTCAGCCCATGTGGCATTTCCTGCTAGTTCCTTCAGGAGTGGGGATTACCAGGACCCAGGCCCACCCGGCTCGCTGTGCTCTAGTGACTAATTGCAGAGCCTCGCCGCAGACCGCTGTTGAATAATCTGGCACTCTCAGCTTCCTGATGCTGTACTCAGGCGTTAACAGAGAAGAAGCTCACAGCCAGCCCCCTGGCAGCAGGCTACACAACAGCCAGGGATTCCTGGTTCCCAGGCCATTCATTCACCCCAGCGCTGGCTTCTTAAGCCATCTACTGGGCTTGAGGCACAACCCAGGTGCTGAGGGCACAGCGGACAACTAGACAGACCTCTTTCTGGTGGGGCTGATGTCCTAGAACCACAGACAGGCAATAGAACTGGTGCTCAAAGAAACTTCCCGAGGCCAGGCGAGGTGGCTCACGCCTCTGGGCGTTTGGGAGGTCACAGTTTGGGAGGTCAAGGAGGGAGGATCACTTGAGTCCAGCAGTTTGAAACCAGCCTGGGCAACATGGTGAAAACTCATTTCTATAAAAAATACCCCCCCCGCCACACACACACAAATTAGCCAGGCATGGTCATGCACATCTGTAGTCCCAGCCACTTGGGAGGCTGATATGGGAGGACTGTGAATGCTAAACCTGGGAGGTTGAGACTGCAGTGAATTGAGATCATAGCACTGCACTCCAGCCTGGGCAACAGAGCGAGACTCTGTCTCAAAAAAAGAAGCCTGTAATCCCAGCACTTTGGGAGGCCGAGGCGGGTGGATCACGAGGTCAAGAGATCGAGATCATCCTGATCCACATGGTGAAACCACGTCTCTACTAAAAATACAAAAAATTAGCTGGGCATGGTGGCGCGTGCCTGTAATCCCAGCTACTCAGGAGGCTGAGGCTGGAGAATTGCCTGAACCCAGGAGGCGGAGGTTGCGGTGAGCCAAGATCGCGCCATTGCACTCCAGCCTGGGTAAAAAGAGCGAAACTCTGTCCCAAAAAAGAAAAGAAACCGGCTGGATGCAGTGGTTCACACCTGTAATCCCAGCACTTTGGGAGGCCGAGGCAGGAGGGGATCACCTGAGGTCGGGGGTTCAAGACCAGCCTGATCAATATGGAGAAACCCTGTCTCTGCTAAAAAAATACAAACTTAGCCAGGCATGGTACTGTATGCCTATAGTCCCAGCTAGTCAGGAGGCTGAGGCAGGAGAATCGCTTGAACCCAAGAGGCGGAGGTTGTGTGAGCCCAGATTGTGCCACTGTAATCCAGCCTGGGCAACAAGAGCAAAACTCCACCTCTAAATAAATAAATAAATGAAAAAAATGAAAAGAAAAGAGAAAGAGAAACCTCCCGGCTGGGAACAGTGGCTCACATCTGTAATCCCAGCACTTTGGGAGGCAGGTGAATCACCTGAGGTCCAGAGTTACAGACTAGTCTGGCCAACATAGTGAAACCCCGTCTCTACTAAAAATACAAATATTAGGCAGGCATGGTGGATGCCTGCAATCCTCGCTACCAGGGATGCTGAGGCAGGAGAATTGCTTGAACCTGGCAGAGGTGGAGGTTGCAGTGAACCAAGACTGCTCCACTGCACTCCGGCCTGAACAACAGAGTGAGACTCTGTCTCAAAAAAAAGAAAGAGAGAGAGAGAGAAAGAAAGAAAAAGAAAGAGAAAGAAAGAAAAAGAAAGAAAGAAAAGAAAAGAAACAAACTTTCCATGAAATTTCAAGTTGCAATAAGGACTCTGAAGAAAATACAGCAGAGCTCAGGAGGTCAAGCTGCCCGGGCTCAAGCAATCCTTCCACCTCAGCCTCCGGAGTAGCTGGGACTACAGGCACATGCCACCATGACAAGCTTTTTATTTTTGAGACGGAGTCTCACTCTGTAGCCAAGCTGGAGTGCAGTGGCACCATCTCGGCTTACTGCAAACTCCACCTCCCGGGCTCAAGTGATTCTTGTGCCTCGGCCTCAGATTAACTTTTCTATTTTATGTAGAGAAAAGGTCTTGCTATATTGCCCAGGTTGGTCTCCAATTGGGCTCAGACTATCCTCTTGCCTCAGCTTCCTAAAGTGCTAGGATTATAGGGATGAGCCACTGTGCCCAGCCAGGCCAAGTCTGTATCAGCATTCTCTATGAGCATTTTCTTTCTTTTCTTTTTTATTTATAAAGACGGGGTTTCACCATGCTGGTCAGGCTGGTCTTAAACTCCCGACCTCAGGTGATCCACCCGCCTTGGCCTCCAAAGTGCTTGGATTACAGGCGTGAGCCACGGCGCCCGGGCTTCTTTTCTTTTCTTTTTTTTTTGAGACACAGCGGGGATCTGAACTCACATCGGGTGGGATGTCCAAGCTGCTACCCTGACCGCTAATGAGCTTCAGAGGGCAGGGCTGCAGGTGATCAGGAAGAGGACAGGAGTAGGTGGGCCGGGAAAGCCTCTCAGGAGTGAAGGAGGGGGAATTCCAGCCAGCAAAGTGGAGTGGGCCAGATAGAAACGAGGGAAGGGAGATGGGACGGGATGGAACGGGAAAGCCACAGGGCAGGGAGTCAGAGGGTTGAATGGTGGCCGCTGCAGCCTTGAACGCCGAGGTGAGGACATGTACCTGTTCCCTAGGGTCAGAACCGTACACGTCTGACCCAATTCCACAGCACAGTGGGGAACTCCAGAATCCCGCCCCGTTGCCCACACACTTCGCTCTCACGCCCGCTCCTCGCAGGCCCCTCCCACGTCCCGTTCACCGCGTGACAGCCAATAGCAGAAGCGAAAGCGCATCCGGGTGCTGAAGCAGCCAATTGTGGCTGAGCGACGAGTGAGCCCGAGAACCAATCAGAGCGCCGCTGCCATGGCCAAAAAAAAAAAACCAAAAAACTTCCAATGGTGACTACAGGGAGAACCGGGCAGCTGCCAATGGGCGTGCGCGTTTCAGACGGCCAATGGGAGGAGGCGTCTCGGTGGGCAACAAGTAGAGGCTGCCCGCGGGGGCGGGGCGGGGTCCGGGTTCGTGCCTGAGTCCCCCCCGGAAGGGTGAGTCCGGACGCAAGTGCGGAAGGGGCGCGGCCTGAGGTCTGCAGGAAGGAGACGCGGGGACTGGCAGCGCTTGACAGGCTGAACTTGGATGGCAGCACCTGGTGCCTCGGGACTGCTCCAATGCCCGGTGGGTGCACATCCCAGTTCCTGCCTCTGCCGGCCGGGTTTAGAGGTTTTGGCGGGAGGATGTGAGGGGTGCAGCCTTCCCGGTTGCAAACCTCACCCCGACCCCGTCTTCAAAGCTGGGTCCGGGTCCAGTGGAGATGAGCAGCAAGGAGGAAGAAGGCTCCCGAAAAGCCCCATCCCCAGGATCTCACCTGAAACATGAATAGGTATTAATGGCAAAAGTTAGTTAAGCGCTTACTGTATGCCAGACACTTTCTCTGCCTCCTCGCGTTGAATCCTCCCGGCAACCCTTTGAGGTAGAGACTGTTACACGCGCATTTTCCAGAGGAGGGTGTAATCGGCAACATGGGTAGAACTGACAGCCCCTCCGCTTCTATACTGGCGCCCTCAGGAGGCTCAGGCGCTGGACTGCGGGGATGGAGCTGGACAGAAACTTTCCTAGGCTTGAGGGAGTCAACAGGGATTGGGGTCACTCATGGGAGTGCACGTGGGGGACGAGAATTGTGGCCTGAAAGAGAAAGGCCATCACCACGATGAAACGAGTGACAATGATGTTATTTTTGTTTTAGTCACATTTGTTATTTTTGTATGTGCCTGTATCAAGGTCTACGCTGAATGTGGAATATGTGGAACTACAATGAAACATCACAACCATCTTTTGATGACCCTGAGGATCTCCCTTTTCCAGATGGGGAAACTGAGGCCCGGAATCGCTAAGTGGCTTGCTTGAGTTGACACAGGGAGCTCCAGGATTCGCCCTCAGGTCTGTTTGACCACAGCTGCCTGTCCCGTTGTTTTGGGGAGGTGGGTTACTTTTTATTCATTTTTATTATTCATTTATTTATTTATTTATATTTTTAGAGACAGGGTCTTACTTTGTCACCCAGGCTGGAATGCAGTGGTGTGATCACTACTCACTGTAGCCTCCAACACCTAGGCTCAGGAGATCCTCCCACCGTGGCCTCCTGAGTAGCTTGAATACAAGTGTGTGCCACCACATCTGGCTAAACTTTAAATATTTCTTGTAGAGGCCGGGCATGGCGGTTCATTCCTGTAACCCCAGGACTTTGGGAGGCCAAGGTGGGTGGATCACCTGAGGTCAGAGATTCAAGACCAGCCTGGCCAACATGACAAAACCCCATCTCTATTAAAAATACAAAAATTAGCTGGGCATGGTGGCGAATGCCTGTAATCCCAGCTACTTGGGAGGCTGAGGCAGGAGAATTGCTCGAACCAGGGAGGCGGAGGTTTCGAGCCGAGATCGCACCATTGCACTCCAGCCTGGGCAGCAAGAGCAAAACTCCGTCTCAAAAAAACAAACAAACAAAACTTCTTGTAGAAACAGGGTCTTGTTATATGGCCTAGGCTAGTCTCCAGCCCCTGGGCTCAAGTGATCCTCCTGACTCAACCTCCCAAAGTCCTGGGATTACAGGCGGAGGCCACAGTACCTAGTTAGAGCAGATTTTTATATCAGTGTCAATTTGTGGAAAGAGGTGAGGGGTCGGTGTTATCGATGAGAGATCTACTAGGTGGGGATACATACCCCAACCCCGTCCAACAAATATGGAAACCGAGGCTCAGAGACAGAATTGGGTCCTTAATGTCACGCCAAGGTGGGAGCCCAGGATCTTCCCCTCAGGCCTCAGCTGGGGTGGGTGGAAGGTTGAGGTGCTAATGGTGAGGGGCCTCTGGGCTGAGAGTTGAGAGCTGATAGATTGTCCCATTTGTAGCCGAGCCACCGGCCGGGAACATGCCTCTGCGCCATCGGGGAACAGCCAAGGGCGGCAAGCCTGTTGGGGATGGAGCCCAGCCCGTGGCTACCATGGGAGGCCTGAAGGTGCTTCTGCACTGGGCTGGTCCAGGCGGCGGGGACCCCTGGGTCATCTTCAGCAAGTCATCGCTGACAGCTGAGGAAGTCTGCATTCACATCGCGCATAAACTCGGTGAGTCTGGGGCGCTGGCACCATGAGGACACATGGGTGTCCAAGCAGCAGCTGGGCCCCATCCATCCATCTGTCCACCCACCCACCCATCCATCCATCCATCTGTCCATCCATCTACCCACCCATCCACCCATCCATCCCCCCATCCATCCATCCACCCACCCATCTACCCACCCACTTATCCACCCACCCACACATCCATCCATCCATCCACTGACCCACACACCCAGCCACCCACCCATCTATCCATCTTTCCACCCACATACCCACCTACTCCTCCACCACATACCCATTGATCCACCCACCCACACACCCATCCACCCACCCACCCATCCATCCACCCACATACCCACCCACTCCTCCACCAAGCACCCATCCATCCATCCACCCATGTACCCACCCACTCCTCCACCCACCTACCCACCCATCTACCCATTCATTCATACATCCACCCAACCCACAACCATCCATCCATCTACCCACTCACCCATCCACCTACCCATCTATCCATCCATCTATTCATCCACCTATGCGCCCATCAACCCACTTATCCACATACCCACCCACCCATTTATCCATCCACCCATCCGCTCATCCATCCATCCATCCATGTACCCATTCATACAGTGAACGTTTTGTGAGCATCTACTGTGTGGCAGCTGCAAATCACTGCCTTTGTAGAGCTGAAATTTTAGGAAGATAGCAAGAAATATAATAAATCAGAAAACTTGCCCAGGTGCAGTAGCTGATACCTGTAATCCCAGCACTTGAGGAGGCCCAGGCAGGAGGATTGCTTGAGACCAGTAGTTGGAGACCAGCCTGGGCAACATAGGGAGACCCTATCTCAACAAAACAATTTTAGAAATTAGCCAGGCATGGTGGTGCATGTCTGTAGTCCCAGCTACTTGAGAGGCTGAGGCAAGAGGATCGCTTGAGGCCAGGTGTTCAAACCTGCAATGAGCTATGGTTGCATCACTGCATCCCAGCCTGGGGGACAGAGTGAGACTCTGTGTCATTAAAAAAAAGTCTGTAGTCTGCAGTAGATGTATTTGGAAGTGCAATTTCCTCTCCTGGAGAAGACCCTTCCTTCCTTCCTTCCTTCCTTCCTTCCTTCCTTCCTTCCTTCCTTCCTTCCTCCCTTCCTCCCTTCCTCCCTTCCTCCCTTCCTCCCTTCTTTCCTTCCTGCCTCCCTTCCTCCCTCCCTCCCTTCCTCCCTTTCCCTTCTCTTCCCCTTCTTTCTTCTCTTTCTTTCTTGACGGAGTATTGCTCTGTCATCCAGGCTGGAGTGCAGTAGTGTAATCTCAGCTCACTGCAATGTCCATGTCCCAGGTTCCAGCGATTCTCCTGCCTCAGCCACCTGAGTAGCTGGGATTACAGGCACATACCACCATGCCAGTTAGTTTTGTTTTGTGTTTTTGAGATGGAGTCTTGCTCTGTCACCAGGCTAGAGGCTGGAGTGCAGTGGCATGATCTCAGCTTACTGTAACCTCTGCCTCCCGGGTTCAAGCGATTCTCTTGCCTCAGCCTCCTGAGTAGCTGGGACTATAGGCAGGCACCACTATGCCCAGCTAATTTTTGTATTTTTAGTAGAGACAGGGTTTCACCACGTTGGCCAGAATGGTCTTGATCTCTTGACCTCGTGATCCGCCTGCCTCAGGCTCTCAAAGTGCTGATATTACAGGCATCACTGTGCCCAGCCCTTAGTTTTTATATTTTTAGTAGAGATGGAGTTTTGCCATGTTGGCCAGGCTGGTCTTGAACTCCTGACCTCAAGTGATTCACCTGCCTCAGCCTCCCAAAGTGCTGGGATTATAGGCGTGAGCCACCATGCCCAGCCGAGGGAAGGCCTTTCTAAGGTGACTTTGGTTACATATACCTTCCTCCAGAAACTCCTTTTACCTCCCCCATTCCCAGCTTTCCATGACTGGATGGGGGCACTGCAGGAAATTTCTACACCACCTCCTACTTCCCCATCCATAGATAAGTCTTTTTTTCATTTTCTTTTTTCTTTTCAGAGACAAAGTCTCTCTCTGTTGCCCAGGCTGAAGTGCAGTGGTGCTGTCATGACACATTGCAGCCTCTACCTGCCAGGCTCAAGTGATTCTCCTGCCTCAGCCTCCCAAATAGCTGAGACCACAGGCACAGGTCACCACATCTGGCTAATTTTTATATTTTCTGTAGAGATGGGGCCTCACCATGTTGCCCAGGCTGGTCTTAAACTCCTGGGCTCAAGTGATCAGCCCACCTCGGCCTCCCAAAGTGTGAGGAGGCATGAGCCATCCCACCCGGCCATGACTGATTCTTCTTTTCTCTGTATTTATTTTTTTCTTTTTTGAGATGGTGTCTTGCTCTGTTGCCAGGCTGGAGTGCAGTGGCACGAAATTGGCTCACTGCAACCTCTGCCTCCTAGGTTCAAGCGATTCTCCTACCTCAGCCTCCTGAGTAGCTGGGACTACAGGCACATGCCGCCATGACCAGCTAATTTTTGTATTTTTTTTTTTTTTGAGACGGAGTTTCACTCTTGTTACCCAGGCTGGAGTGCAATGGCATGATCTCGGCTCACCGCAGCCTTCACCTCCTGGGTTCAAGCAATTCTCCTGCCTCAGCCTCCTGAGTAGCTGGGATTACAGGCATGCGCCACCATGCCCAGCTAATTTTTTGTATTTTTAGTAGAGACGGGGTTTCACCATGTTGACCAGGATAGTCTCGATCTCTTGACCTCATGATCCACCCGCCTCAGCCTCCCAAAGTGCTGGGATTACAGGCGAGAGCCACCGTGCCCGGCTAATTTTTGTATTTTTAGTAGAGACAGGGTTTTACCATATTGGCCAGGATGGTCTCGATCTCTTGACTGTGTAATAAAGGTCACATCTGGCCAGCTCTTTTTATTTGAGATGGAGTTTCACTCTTGTTGACCAGGCTGGAATGCAATGGCATGATCTTGGCTCAGTGCAACCTCTGCCTCTCGGGTTCAAGCAATTCTCCTGCCTCAGCCTCCCGAGTAGCTGGGATTACAGGCACCCACGACCACACCCAGCTGATTTTTGTATTTTAGTATAAACGGGGTTTCACCATGTTTGCCAGGCTGATCTCGAACTCCTGACCTCAAGTGATCTGCCCAGGCATGGCTGATTCTTAAGGGACTCAGACAGGTGTGCGGGGCGATGTGAAACACGCTCAGCAGAGGGAACAGCACGTATGGAAACCCGGAAAGTGTGATCTGTTTGAGGAAGCCAAAGACCTTCAGGGTGACTCGGGGAATCAATTTTGAGAGTTTCGAAGGGGAAGTAACAATTGAAACCAGGTCATAGCAGGCAAAAGCCAGGTTGGGGGTGCTCAGAGTCAAGGGGTTGGGTATTCTCTGGGAGCAATGGGGCGCCATGGAAGGATTAAGCCAGAGAGTGTAGTAGTCTAACTAGTTTTTTTTAACTTTTTACTTTATTTTTGTTTTGTATTTTTGACTGGTTCTTTTTTTTTTTTGAGACAGAGTCTCCCTCTGTTGCCCAGGCTGGAGTACAGTGGCACCATCTCAGCTTACTACAACCTCTGCCTCCTGGGTGCAAGTGATTCTCCTGCCTCAGCAGCCTCCCAGGTAGCTGGGATTACAGGTGCACCAGCAGCCCGGCTGATTTTTTTTTGTTTTTTGCATTTTTAGTAGGGACGGGGTTTCACCGTATTAGCCAGGATGGTTTCAATCTTCTGACCTTATGATCCACCTGCCTCAGCCTCCCAAAGTCCTGGGATTACAGGTGTGAACCACCACACCCAACTTTTTTCTTTTTTAAAATGGAATTTTACTCTGTTGCCCAAGCTGGAGTGTAATGGTGCAATCTCGGCTCACTGCAACCTCTGCTTCCCAGGTTAAAGTGATTCTCCTGCCTCAGCCTCCTGAGTAGCTGGGATTACAGGCACATGCCACCATGCCTGGCTAACTTTTTGTGTTTTTAGTAGAAATGGGATTTCACCGTGTTGGCCAGGCTGGTCTTGAACTCCTGACCTCAGGTGATCTGCCCACCTCAGCCTCCCAAAGTGCTAGGATTACAGGCGTGAGCCACCACACCTGGCCCACAGATAGAATTTTTAAATGGTGTGAATAGAAAGAAAGATGCATTGGGTGGCTGGTGGGAAATGACGGCAAGTCTGCAGACTGGATTGGGATTGGGCTTTGCATTTGAAGATGGTGGATGGATCCCCAGGACATGGAGGGTGCAGGAAGAACGGGTCTTGATGACCAGTCTATTGTGGAGTGGGTGGAGAAGCTGAAGATAACAACCAAGTTCCTGGTTTGAAGAACTGGGCAGAAGCCACACACAGTGGCTCATACCCATAATCCCATCAACTCCAGAGACTGAGATGGAAGGATCTCTTGAGCCCTGGAGGTTGAGGCTGCAGTGAGCTAGGATTGCACCACTGCACTGCAGCCTGGGTGGCAAAGAAAGACCCTGACTCTAAAAACAAAAACAAAAACGAAAAAAAAGGCCAGGCACGGTGGCTCACACCTGTAATCCCAGCACTTTGAGAGGCCGAGGCAGGTGGATCACAAAGTCAAGAGATTGAGACATCCTGGCCAACATGGTGAAACCGTCTCTATTAAAAATACACACACAAAAAATAGCTGGGCATGGTGGTGCATGCTGGTAGTCCCAGCTACTTAGGAGACTGAGGGAGGAGAATTGCTTGAGCCCAGAAGGCAGAGGTTGCAGTGAGCTGAGATCATGCTACTGCACTCCAGCCTGGGCAACAGCGAGACTCCGTCTCAAAAAAAAAAAAAAAAAAAAAAAAAAAAATGCTCAGAGGAGGGGAGGTTTGGGGTTTGGGGGCCACAGATAAGATGTGTTGTTTGGAATGCGGCACATCTAAGGGGGATCTGTGATGTCCAGGGGAAGACAGCCAGGGGGTGATTCGATGTTTCTTTGGGGCTGGAGTTCAGGGAGATGCCAGGTAATTCCAGCAGTTTGTAGAGTTATGTTGGTCTGGCTAGGAAAAGTTTTGATGCAGAAATAAACCCCCCAAATCTCAAGACAATCAAGGTTTACCTAAAATCGGCCAAGCACGGTGGCTCATGCCTGTAATTCCAGCACTTTGGGAGGCTGAGGCAGGCAGATCACCTTAGGTCAGGCGTTTAAGACCAGCCTGGCCAACATGGGAAAACCTCATCTCTTCTAAAAATACAAAAATTAGCCGGGTGTGGTGGCAAGCACCTGTGATTCCAGCTGCTTGGGAGGCTGAGACGAGAATCATTTGAACCCAGAAGGTAGTGAGCTGAGATTGAGTCACTGCACTCCAGTCTGGGTGACAGAGCAAGACTCTATCTCAAAGAAAAGGGTGGCCGGGTGCGGTGACTCACACCTGTAATCCCAGCACTTAGGGAGGCCAAGGCATGCAGATCCCGAGGTCAGGAGTTTGAGACCAGCCTGACCAACATGGTGAAATTCTGTCTCTACTAAAAATACAAAAAAATAGCTGGGCGTGGTGGCACACACCTGTCATCCCAGCTACTCAGGAGGCTGAGGCAGGAGAATCGCTTGAACCCGGGAGGCACAGGTTGCAGTGAGCCAATATCGTACCACTGCACTCCAGCCTAGGAGACAGAACGAGACTCTGCATCAAATAAAAAAAAAGGTTTACGTAAAATTAACTGCACAAACCATTGGATGGTTTACCTCTATCTTATAGCTTCACCACCTGTCACAAGAAGCCTTCAGCATACCTCAGGTGGTGAAGGTGGCAAGGGGATTTATTTCCAGGCTTGGAAATGTGCCCCTCCCTTTGACCGGAAACCAGTGCAATGGCCCCACCCTAGCTGCAAGGGAGGCTGGGAAATGTAGTCATCCTGTGAGCCACAGCATGGTCAGCATATGCACTGTCCTATCCCCAGGGGCAACATGAGACTGAAGCTGCAAGCGGGGGAAGGGGCCTCAGATGGAGTGTAAAGGCAGACATTGGGTCTGGGGTATCTGCGGGCTGACAGTAGCACATGACGTGACTCCTGATCTCGTTTCTCCCCTGGTCCAGGTATCACTCCTCCCTGTTTCAATCTCTTCGCCCTCTTTGATGCCCAGGCCCAAGTCTGGTTGCCCCCAAACCACATCCTAGAGATCCCCAGAGACGCAGGCCTGATGCTGTATTTCCGCATGAGGTGGGTGGAGACCCCTTTGCAAAGCTTGTTCCCTCCTGTGGTGGAGCTGGTCTGACTCTGTGCTAAGCCCCAGCTGTGTCCTCCCTTTCGACAGGTTTTATTTCCGGAATTGGCATGGCATGAATCCTCAGGAGCCAGCTGTGTACCGCTGTGGGCCCCCAGGAGCTGAGGCATCCTCAGATCAGACAGCACAAGGGATGCAACTCCTGGACCCAGCCTCATTTGAATACCTCTTTGAGCAGGTATGAGCAGGGCTTGCGGGGAGACTTAGGGGCAATTGAGGAGCCGCCACTTCTTTCCCTGGTTCAGTATAATTAATAGAATTAATAGGTTTCAACTCATGCCATCTGGGGATCGAGTTTTGCTCTGTCCCTCAGTCTGGAGTGCAGTGTGGTGTGATCTCAGCTCACTGCAACCTCCAACTCCCAGGTTGAAGCAATTTGCCCACCTCAGCCTCCTGAGTTGCTGGGATTACAGGTGCCTGCCACCACACCTGGCTAATTTTTGTATTTTTAGTAGAGACAGGGTTTCACCATTTTGCCCACGTGGGTCTCAAACTCCTGACCTCAAGTGATTCACCTGCCTCAGCCTCCCAAAGTGCTGGGATTACAGGTGTGAGCCACCATCCCTGTCTCAGGTTGAAGGGGAAAAAGTGCTGTGATTGATTAGTGATGTCTGCCACAGGCACAAGATTGAGAAGAGGAGGGTTGTATGCTGTGTATTTGGCCTTGAGGAAATGCTAGTCTCTCTCCTCAAGGTAATGAGATGAAGGAAATTAGGGTTCCCGGGCTAGAGCAAACTTGTCCATCTCATTGCCTGCATGGTGCATGCTGCTCAGGATGGCTTTGAATGTGGCCCAATATAAATTCCTAAACTATCTTAAAATATTATGAGATTTTGCTAAAAAAAATTTTTTTGAGACTGAGTTTTGGTCTTGTTGCCCAGGCTGGAGTGCAGTATCACGATCTCAGCTCACTGCAACTTCTGTCTCCTGTGTTCAAGGGATTCTCCTGCCTCAGTCTCCCGAGTAGCTGGAATTGCAGGCATGTTCCACCATGCCTGGCTAGTTTTGTATTTTTGGTAGAGATATGGTTTCTCCATGTTGGTCAGGCTGGTCTCAAACTCCTGACCTCAGGTGATCCACCTGCCGCAGCCTCCCAAAGTGCTGGGATTACACATGTGAGCCACCATGCCTGGCCTGTGATTTTTTTTTTTTTTAAAGCTCAGCAGCTATCACTACTGTTGGTGTATTTTATGTGTGGCCCAAGACAATTCTTGCAGTATGGTCCAGGGAAGCCAAAAGATTGGATACTTGTGGGCTAGAGCGTGAACGAATTCTCTCACCTCCTTTCTGCTCAATTTCCCATTCTCAGGGCAAGCATGAGTTTGTGAATGATGTGGCATCACTGTGGGAGCTGTCGAGCGAGGAGGAGATCCACCACTTTAAGAATGAGAGCCTGGGCATGGCCTTTCTGCACCTCTGTCACCTCGCCCTCCACCATGGCGTCCCCCTGGAGGAGGTGGCCAAGAAGACCAGGTGTCTGGGAATGGGGTGGGGATGCTGTGTAGGCAGGGGGAAGTGCCCGGAGCATCTGGGCTCCAGGGTAAACTTTACATATTGCCATTACGTCTATTTTTTTTTTTTTTTTTTTTTTTTTTTTTAGCCAGAATCTCGGTCTGTCTCCCAGGCTGGAGTGCAGTGGTGTGATCTCAGCTCACTGCAACCTCTACCTCCTGGGTCGAAGAGATTCTCCTGCCTCAGCCTCCTGAGTAGCTGGAATTACAAGCCCCCACCACCATGCCTGGCTAATTTTTGTATTTAGTAGAGATGGAGTTTCACCATGTTGACCAGGTTGGTCTCAAACTCCTGACCTTGTGATCCTCCCACCTCAGCCTCCCACAGTGCTAGGATTACAGGCGTGAGCCACTGTGCCTGTCTGAAACACATATTTTTCCATCATTCTGTAGGGTTAGGGCTGTGGCAGTGAAATCCAGGGTACGGGGAAGCCGGAGGTGGTGGCCTGTCTAGCCTGTACATCAGAGTGCGTCCAAGGGAGGTGACTTCCTTTAGAAGAACTCCACTTGACTTTGCAACACCTTCTCAGCAGAGGGAACAGTGTCATACAAAGGCCCCGGGGCAGAAGGCAGCAGAGGCCTCTTTACAGGTGAAGTGAATGTGGAATTTATTTTATTTATTTATTTATTTTTATTTTTTTGAGATGGAGTTTCGCTCTTGTTACCCAGGCTGGAGTGCAATGGCACGATCTCGGCTCACCGCAACCTCCGCCTCCTGGGTTCAGGCAATTCTCCTACCTCAGCCTCCTGAGTAGCTGGGATTACAGGCACACGCCACCATGCCCAGCTAATTTTTTGTATTTTTAGTAGAGACGGGGTTTCACCATGTTGACCAGGATGGTCTCAATCTCTTGACCTTGTGATCCGCCCGCCTTGGCCTCCCAAAGTACTGGGATTACAGGCTTGAGCCACCGCGCCCAGCCTTTATTTTTTATTTTTATGTATGTATGTATGTATCTATCTATTTTTCTGAGACGGAGTCTCGCTTTGTCACCAGGCTGGAGTACAGTGGCGCAATACTGGCTCACTGCAACCTCCACCTCCTGGGTTCAAGTGATTCTCCTGCCTGAGCCTCCTGAGTAGCTGGGAATACAGGCGCACACCACCATGCCCGGCTAATTTTTGTATTTTTAGTTGAGTAAGGGTTTCACCATGTTGGCCAGGATGGTCTTGATCTCTTGACCTAGTGATCTGCCTGCCTTGGCCTCCCAGAGTGCTGGGATTACAGGCATGAGCCACTGTACCCATCCCTCTGTATTTATTTATTGATTTATTTTTTCCGAGATGGAGTTTCGTGCTTGTTGCCCAGGCTGGAGTGCAGTGGTGCAATCTTGGCTCATGAAGCCTTCGCCTCCCAGGTTCAAGCGATTTTCCTGCCTCAGCCTCCTGAGTAGCTGGATTACAGGCATGTGCCACCATGCCCAGCTGTTTTTGTATTTTTAGTAGAGATGAGCTTTCTCCATGTTGGTCTCAAACTCCCAACCGCAGGTGATCCACCCGCCTCAGTGGTGCTGGGATTACAGGCATGAGCCACCTCACCCAGCCGTATTTATTTGTTTATTTATTGAGATGGAGTTTTTGTTCTCGTCGCCCAGGCTGGAATGCATTGGTGCAATCTCCACTTACTGCAGCCTCCACCTCCTGAGTTCAAGAGATTCTCCTGCCTTAGCCTCCCAAGTGGCTGGGATTATAGGCTCCCAACTAATTTTTGTGTTTTAAGTAGAGACAGGTTTCACCATGTTGACCAGGCTAGTCTCAAACTCCTGACCTCAAATGATCCACCTGCCTCGGCCTCCCAAGTGCTGGGATTATAGGCGTGAGCCACCGTTCCAGGCCCTGAATGTGGAATTTGATTGCCTGAGTGCAGGAGTCGGCCAGGCATGTGTAGGGATCTTATTCCTGGGCTTTTCCAAGGCAGGCCTTGGAAAGCCTGGATGTAGGAGCAAGGAGCAATTGGAACCTCAAGCTTTAGAGTCCCTCTGGGCAAGGGGTGACAGAGAGAGGCTTGGAAGTAGAAATTGAGTTGGGGAAACCTGGGATCTAAGTGCACCATCCTGACCGTCGGCTGCAGGCAGGTCATGGGGTGAAGGAGATGGACTGGGGAGGGCAGAGGGGCAGGACTTTGTGAGCAGCACAGACCTATGCCTCTTGGTGTTTTTTTGTTTGTTTTGAGATGGGGTCTCATTCTGTTGCCCAGGCTGTCATGCAGTGCTGCAGTCTCAACTCACTGCAGCCTCCACCTCTCAGGTTCAAGTGGTCCTCTGGCCTCAGCCTCCTGAGTAGCTGGGACTACAGGCATGCACTATGCCCAGCTAATTTTTTGGAGAAAGGGTCTTGCTATATTGCCCAGGCTAGTCTTGAACTCCTGGCCTCAAGCAATCCTCCCTCCTTAGCCTCCCAAAGTGCTGGGATTACAGATGTGAGCCACCACATCTGGTCTCTTTTCTTTCTTTCTTTTTTTGAGACAGGGTCTCACTCTGTTGCCCAGGCTGGAGTGTAATGGTGTGATCATATCTCAGGCAGCCTTGAGTACCTGGGTTCAAGCTGTCCTCCTGCCTCAGCCTCCTGAATAGCTGTGATTATAGACAGGCATGTACCACCAACTTGGCTAATTAGTTTTTGAACTTTTTTTTGTAGAGATAGGGTCGTGGCATGTTTTCCAGGCTGGTCTTGAACTCCTGGCTTCAAGCGATACTTCTGCCGTGTCCTCCCAAGTAGCTGAGACTACAGGCTTATGTTACCACACCTGGCTGGTATGCCTGTTTTCTAGACGAGGCAGCTGAGGCTCAGAGAGGTTAAGCCACTTGCCCTGTGTCACCCAGCTGGGCCTGCAACCCAGGTCCCTGACTGGCTCCTCCCTGTGGTCCCCCCAGCTTCAAGGACTGCATCCCGCACTCCTTCCGTCGGCAGATCCGGCAGCACAACGCCCTGACCCGGCTACGCCTTCGGAACGTCTTCCGCAGGTTCCTGCGGGACTTCCAGCCAGGCTGCCTCTCCCAGCAAATGGTCATGGTCAAATACCTGGCCACACTCGAGCGGCTGGCACCCCGCTTTGGCACAGAGCATATGCCCGTGTGCCACCTGAGGCTGCTGGACCAGGCTGAGGGGGAGCCCTGCTACATACGGGACAGTGGGGAGGCCCCTACAGACCCTGGCCCTGAGTCTGCTGCTGGGCCCCCCACCCACGAGGTGCTGGTGACAGGCACTGGTGGCATCCAGTGGTGGCCAGTACAGGAGGAGGTGAGCAAGGAGGAGGTGAGCCAGGTGCCTCTTTTGGCCTGGGGGTCCAGGTTGGGCTGGGTGGGGGTCTCTGCTCATCCTTGGCCCTAGACTCTGAGGGTGGCTAACCTGAGCCCTCTCCCGATATGGCTCTGGGGTATCTGTCCACTGGGGTTAGTTTCTTGGAGAGGGTCTTCCATCTGCTTGCCCCCTGGGCACCTGAATTCTGGGGTCTGCACCTCCAGGGAACCCCTTCGTCTGGGGACTGGCACCTGGTGTGAGGGAGTCACGATTCTGCCTTCTGCCCTCCCTGAGGGTTAGGCTTCCAGCATGTGTATGTTTTGGGGGTGGGTCCCCATCCCACATGTGACACTGGGACCTGAGAGGTCGACCTAGGGTGGTGCCTGGGCCCTCTGTCTCCATCCTCTGCCCCACTTGCTGGGTGTCCAGGGTTCTATCAGGGGCAGCGGCAGCAATCTCCAAGCCAGCCTGTCTGGGAAGAAAGCCAAGGCTCACAAGGCAATCGCCCAGCCGGCGGACAAGCCGAGGGAGCCGCCTCGGGTCTACTTCTGTGACTTCCGGGACATCACCCATGTGGTGCTGAAAGAGCGCCGTGTCAGCATCCACCGGCAGGACAACAAGTGCCTGGTGAGGCCCAGGGTGGGGGCCGGGCTAGGGGCCAGCATGGCCTTCGAGGACGCCTGCCTGATGCGCCCCTGGCCGGCAGGAGCTGAGCCTGCCTTCTCGGGCTATGGCGCTGTCCTTCGTGTCACTGGTGGACGGCTATTTCCGCCTGACAGCCGACTCCAGCCACTACCTGTGCCACGAGGTGGCTCCCCCACGGCTGGTGATGAGCATCCAGGACGGGATCCATGGACCCCTGCTGTGAGTGCTGGGTGGGGGGGCCCCACGGGACACCACCAAGGCTGCCAATTAGACTGTGAGCCCTAGGGGCTGTGCAGGGTGTGTGTGTGTGTGGGGGGTGCATGTCTTATTTTATTTTATTTTTTGTCACCCAGGCTGGAGTGCAGTGGCACAATCTCAATTCACTGCAGCCTCCACCTTCCAGGTTCAAGCAATTCTCCTGCCTCAGCCTCTTGAGTAGCTGGGACTATAGGTGCCTGCCACCACACCCGGCTAATTTTTTTCTCTTTTTCTTTTCTTTTTTTTTTTGAGACGCAGTTTCACTCTTGTTGCCCAGGCTAGAGTGCAGTGGTGCGATCTCTGTGCACTGCAACCTTTGCCTCTCAGATTCAAGCAATTCTCCTGTCTCGGCCTCCCAAGTAGCTGGGATTATAGGCATGAGCCACCATGCCCAGCTAATTTTTTATTTTTAGTAGAGATGGGGTTTCACCGTATTGGCCAGACTGGTCTCGAACTCCTGACCTTGTGATCCGCCCACCTTAGCCTCCCAAAGTGCTGGGATTACAGGCGTGAGCCACCGTGCCCAGCCAGGTTCAGGCACCACATCTGTGTGTCAGCCACTGCACATGTAGGTTTCTGGGCCTATGTAGCCATGACACTTGCTAGTGCATGTTTGTGTCACCTCTGCATCTGGGATGCCCAGGCCCCCGTGTGGCCCTGTCATACCGGGCAGCATTTATGATTGTTGTCTTTCATATGTGTGACTGGCTAGCCATCGTGTGGCACCCTTGTGAGTGGTGGTGGCTGTGGTTGGGTGTGTGCCCATCCAGCTCCTGATGGCTGTTTCCTATCTTAGAGTGTGTGTCACCTTGTCAGAGTGTCAAGTACAAGAGCAGGGATAGGCTGGGTGTGGTGGCTGATGCCCATAATCCTAGCTTTTTGGGAGGCCAAGGTGGGAAAATCACTTGAGCCCAGGAGGTCAAGAGCAGCCTGGGCAACATAGCAAGGCCTTGTGACTACTGAAAGTATAAAAATTAACCAGGCGCACCTGTAATCCCAGCTCCTCAGGAGGCTGAGGTGGGAGAATTGCTTAAGCCTGGGAGGTCCAGGCTGAGGTGAGCTGAGATCACACCATTGCACTCCAGCTTGGGCCACAGAGCAAGACCCTGTCTCAAAAAAAAAAAAAGAGAGCAAGTAGCCGGGCACAGTGGCTCACACCTGTAATCCCAGCACTTTGGGAGGCTGAGGCGGGCGGATCATTTGAGGTCATGAGTTTGAGAGTGGCTAACATGGTGAGAGACCGCCTCTCTACTAAAAATAAAAAAATTCGCTGGGCATGGTGGCGTGCGCCTGTAATCCCAGCTACTTGGGAGCCTGAGGCAAGAGAATCTCTTGAACCCAGGAGGCAGAGGTTGCAGTGAGCCGAGATTGTGCCATTGCACTCCAGCCTGGGTGACAGAGTGAGACTGTCTCAAAAAGAGTGGCCGTGTCTGACAATTATCCTAGCTGTGTGTGTGCCCTCTGAGCAGGTAATGAGTGACATTGTTCCTGGGTGTGGGTTCAGCAGTGGCCCCAGGTGGCCTGATGGTCCCTCTGGACCTCCCTCCAGGGAGCCATTTGTGCAGGCCAAGCTGCGGACCGAGGATGGCCTGTACCTCATTCACTGGAGCACCAGCCACCCCTATCGCCTGATCCTCACGGTGGCCCAGCGTAGCCAGGTGGGCCCAGGGCTGGGGTCCAGGGCTGGGGCTGGTCACGCTCCCATTCCTGGAGCCCTGCTCACTGCTTCCACCTCTGCCACCTCCTGCCAGGCACCAGATGGCACGCAGAGCTTGCAGCTCCGGAAGTTCCCCATTGAGCAGCAGGCTGGGGCCTTCATACTGGAGGGCTGGGGCCGGTCCTTCTCCAGTGTTCGGGAACTTGGGGCTGCTTTGCGGGGCTGCTCACTGAAAGTAGGGGATGACTGCTTCTCTCTGCGTCGCTGTTGCCTGCCCCAACCAGGAGGTATGACAATGGGGGGACCTCTGGGTGGGGTGTGGCATCCCCTTCCCGGCCCAGCCCTCCATGACTTCACACCTGCCCCCAGAAACCTCCAACCTCATCATCATGCGGGGGGCTCTGGCCAGCACCAGGCCACTCAACCTCAGCCAGCTCAGCTTCCACCGGGTCAACCAGAAGGAGATCACCCAGGTGGGGGCAGGGAAGGGGTCGGGGCAAGGGCAGGGCCCCTGGGGATGTGGGTGCTGGGGGCTCTGGGAGATCAGCTGCCAACTGTTGCCACAACTGTGTTCTGTGCCACACCATCCCACAGCTGTCCCACTTGGGTCAGGGTACAAGGACCAATGTGTATGAGGGCTGCCTACGAGTGGAGGGCAGTGGGGGCCCTGAGGAGGGCAAGATGGACGACGAGTTCCCCCCCGGGCCCAGCAGGGACTGTGGGCAGGAGCTGCGAGTGGTCCTTAAAGTGCTGGATCCTAGTCACCATGACATTGCCCTGGTGAGTGGCCAGGGCCAGGCCTGGGCATGTCTGTGGAGGAGGTGGCCGGTTGGGATGGGAGGAATCAGCTTTGCACCCACCTGACCTGCTTGGTCCCCACAGGCCTTCTATGAGACAGCCAGCCTCATGAGCCAGGTCTCCCATGTGCACCTGGCCTTCGTGCATGGCGTCTGTGTGCGCGGCCCTGAAAGTGAGTGGGTCCCTCCATACCCACCCTCCTCGGCAGGCCACCCCCCACTTCTACCCACTCCCTGATCTGTACCCCAACCCTCGATCTATACCCCAACCAATGCCTATTTCTCAATTCTCACCTACACTCTGATCCCAGGCTACACCTTGACCTTCAACCTAGACCCCAACCCCTGACGATATTCCAGCCCATAACTTACATCCCAACACCTCGACCCTCATCTGCCCTCAGTCTCAACCCACTCTCTGATTCCCAACTTTATTCCCATTTCCATCTCTCTCCCAAACAACCTCTACAATCCAGCCTCCATCTGCTCCTGGCCCCATCAGCATGATGGCCCCAGCCAGACTCCAACACTGATGTGTCCCGATCCTCCCAGGCCTTAGCCCCTGCACATCCAACTCTGCCTGACTCCACCTCTTCCTTTCCTCTGCTGGTAGCTCAAAACTCCTAGTATAGGTCGGGTGTAGTGACTCACACCTGTAATCTCAGCACTTTGGGAGGCTGAGGTGGGAGGATCGGTTAAACCCAGGAGTTTAAGACCAGCCTGGGTAACATGGCCAGACGCTGTCTTTACAAAAAAATGTAAAAATTAGGGCCAGGCATGGTGACATGTGCCTGTAGTCCTAGCTACTTGGGAGGCTGAAATGGGAAGATTGCTTGAGCCCAGAAGTTCAAGGCTGCAGTAAGCCATAATAGCACCACTGCACTCAAAAATAATAATAGTAATAAATAAAAAATAATAAAGCCCATACAGAACAACCCTAGACTCACCCATCCCTTAACCCTTGTGTGTGTGCGTCTCCCTCAGCTTCCCCCAGACCCCGGCCGACACCCTGACCCATATTCCCCTGACTGCCCTGACTGCATCACTTCACTTACACCGCAGCCTCAAGCCCCCACCTTCTGCTTGTCCATGCCCGTCTCCCCATTGCTAGTTGCTCACTTTCTAGGCTCACCTTTATTTCTTTTATTGTGAGATGGGGTCTCCTTCTGTTGCCCAGGCTGCAGTGCAGTGGCGCCATCATGGCTCACTGAAGCCTTGACCTCCTGGCTCAAGCAATCCTCCTACCTTAGCCTCTTGAGCACAGGCATGTGCTACCACAACCGGCTGATTTTTAAAAAGATTTCTAAATGTGGTCTTACTATGTTGCCTAGTCTGGTCACTCCTGGGCTCAAGGGATATTCCTGCCTCAGCCTCCCAAAGTGACGTGATTACAGGTGTGAGCCACTGTACCCTGCCACCTTTATCTCTCTCTCTTTTTTTTTTTTTTTTGAGACAGAGTCTCACACTGTCTCTATCACCCAAGCTGGAGTGTAATGCGTGATCTCGGCTGACTGAAACCTCCGCCTCCCAGGTTCAAGTGGTTTCTCTGCCTCACCCTCCCGAGTAGCTCAGATTACAGGTGTGCACCACCACACCCAGCTAATTTTTTTGTATATATATATTTTTAGTAGAGATTGGGTTTTATCATGTTGGCCAGGCTGCTCTTGAACGCCTGACCTCGGGTGATCCTCCTGCCTCGGCCTCCGAAAGTGCTGGGATTGCAGGTGTGAGCCACCGCGCCCGGCCTGCCTTTCTGTCTTGACCTTTGACTTCCTCCTTGCCTCACCCAACCTGGACCCCAGTGCCCTCATCCTCCACTGCCTGTGCTGCATTCTGCATTTCTCCTCTCCCCAAACTCACTTTCAACCCGGAACTCCACCCACACCTCTGCCCTGACACCTCCACAGCCATATACACCCAGCCACATGCCAGTCCCTCCCTGGCCCCTCCCCCCAGCCCCCACCATCCAGAGGGCAGGAGCAGGCAGGCCATCTCAGAGCAGCTGTGTCTTTGCAGATATCATGGTGACAGAGTACGTGGAGCACGGGCCCCTGGACGTGTGGCTGCGGAGGGAGCGGGGCTGTGTGCCCATGGCTTGGAAGATGGTGGTGGCCCAGCAGCTGGCCAGCGCCCTCAGCTACCTGGTGTGTGGCCTGTGTGTGGGTCCTGGGTCGTTCAGGGAAGGCCAGGAGCCCAGGAGTTCGAGACCAGCCCAGGGAACATGCCGAGACCCAATCTTTAAAAAATAAATAAATATGGTGCTGAAGGAATTAAAATTAAAAATTAAAAAAAGATATTTAAAATTTATTTAAAAAAAGAATTAAAGAGAAAAAAATAAATATCCAGGCATGGTGGCTCACTCCTGTAATCCCAGCAGTTTGGGAGGCTAAGGTTGGCGATCACCTGAGGTCAAGAATTTGAGACCAGCCTGGCCAATATGGCAAAACCCTGTCTCTACTAAAAATACAGAAAAATAGCTGGGCATAGTGGCTAACGCCTGTAATCCCAGCACTTTGGAAGGCCAAGGCAGGCAAATCATCTGAGGTTGGGAGTTCAAGACCAGCCTGGCCAGCATGGAGAAAGCCCATCTCTACTAAGAATACAAAAATTAGCTGGGCATGATGGTGCGTGCCTATAATCCCAGCATTTGGGAGGTTGAGGCAGGAGAATTGCTTGAACCTGGGAGGTGGAGGTTGCGGTGAGCTGAGATCACACCATTGCACTCCAGCCTGGGCAACAAGAGTGAGACTCCGTCTCAAAACAAACCATACACACACACACACGCACACGCACAGCAAAATTAGCTGGTGTGGTAACTTGCACCTGTAGGCCCAATTACTCAGGAGGCTGAGGTGGGAGGATCGCTTGAGCCTGGGAAGTTGAGGCTGTAGTGAGCTATGATCACACCACTGCACTCCAGCCTGGGCAGCAGCATAGCAAGACCCCATCTCTCAGAAGTTTAGGAATTAGCCAGCCGTGATAGTGTGCACCTGCAATTCTAGCTACTTGGCTTGAGGCCAGGAGTTTGAGGCTGTAATGAGCTATGTTCTTGCTACCATACTCCAGCCTGGGAGACAGAATGAGACCCTGTTTCAAAAAGAAAAAAATAATGCCTCCCCCCAAAAAACACCCAGTGATGGTCACAGTTGTCCTTTGCACATTGGCTGTCCCTATGGGGGCCAGGTTTGGGGTTGGCATCTATGTCCCTCCTGATGGCCTCACCCCCTCTCCTGCCCACCCCAGGAGAACAAGAACCTGGTTCACGGTAATGTGTGTGGCCGGAACATCCTGCTGGCACGTCTGGGGCTGGAGGAGGGCACCAGCCCCTTCATCAAGCTGAGTGATCCCGGCGTGGGCCTGGGCGCCCTCTCCAGGGAGGGTGAGTACTTGAGGGGACCTGGGCACAGTGGGGGCTTCCCCTGTTCCTTTCACTCCTGGTGACTTCTGACCTCGGCCCCCAGAGCGCGTGGAACGGATCCCCTGGATGGCCCCTGAGTGCTTGCCAGGCGGGCCCAATAGCCTAGGCACTGCCACGGACAAGTGGGGCTTTGGTGCCACCCTCCTCGAGATCTGCTCTGATGGAGAGGCCCCCCTTCAGAGTCGCAGCCCCTCCGAGGTATGTCTAGGGAACCCCTGGGCCCTCCCCACAAAGGGGGCCCCTCCAAGGAGTCCAGAGGACAGAATCAGAGCTCAGAGCTGCCTCCCCTCTGGCTGCATGACTTTAAGTCTCTCTGGGCCATCTGCAGGTGGTCGCCTTGGGGCTCACTGTCGCCCAGCCTTTTTTTTTTTGAGATGAAGTCTCCCTCTGTCGCCCAGGCAATCTCGGCTCACTGTAACCTCCGCCTCCCGGGTTCAAGCAATTCTGCCTTAGCCTCCCAATTAGCTTGGACTACAAGCGTTCGCCACCATGCCTGGCTAATTTTTGTATTTTTAGTAGAGATGGGGTTTCACCATGTTGGCCAGGCTGGTCTCAAACTCCTGACCTCAGGTAATCCGCCCACCTCAGCCTCCCAAAGTGCTGGGATTACAGGCATGAGCCATTGTGCCCGGTCAGTCCCAGCCTTTTGAGGTCCTTGTGGAAGTCACTTGTACCTGGCACACAGAAGGCAAGTAAGAGACTTGGTTTCAGTTTTAGGCAGAGTGACCAGGGAAGTGATGGGAGATACCCAGGCTGCAGAGAGGGGAAGAGGGACGGAGGATGTACCTCACCCAGCACTGGGGTCAGATAAGGCTTCCCAGAGGAGGTTTGTGTGTTGTTTTTGTTTTTGTTTTTTTTTGAGAAGGATTTGCACTCTGTCCACCAGGCTAGAGTGCAGTGGCATGGTCTCTGCTCACTACAACCTCCACCTCCCAGGTTCAAGCAATTCTACTGCCTTAGCCTTCCGAGTAGCTGGGATTGTAAGCACCCACCATCATGCACAGCTAATTTTTGTATTTTTAGTAGAGACGGGGTTTCCCCAGGGTCCCAGCACTGGGATGGATCTCAGTGTGGGGCTGCAGCCGGGTGCACAGCTACATGTTGACCAGGCTGGTCTCAAACTCCTGACCTTAAGTAATTCACCATCCTCGGCCTCCCAAAGTGCTGGGATTACAGGCGTGAGCCACTGCACCCGGCCCTGGAGGACGTTTTATCTAAATGTAAAATTATGCCAATAAGCCTGACTAGGAAGGGCAGCTTAGGCAGAGTGCATGTGCTGTGCAAAGGCCGAGACTTTGGTGTATTGAGGAGCTGTGGTCTATAGGAGGGGCAGGAGGGAACCCCAGGCGGGAGGCTGACTGCATCGTCCCTGGACCTGGGTCCCAGTTCTGGCTCTGCAGCTGTGAGCACATCCTCCCATTTTGCAGAGCCTCAGTTGCCTCATCTGTAAAATGGGACTGACAAGAGCAGGCACCTGGCCAGTCCAGCCCTGCTGCTCTGGGGCTTGACTCTGCCTCTTGGGGAAGGTGTGGGGGTGAGGGAAGGATGTTGACCCCTCTGGGTCCCTTCCCCAACAGAAAGAGCGTTTCTACCAGAGGCAGCACCGGCTGCCCCAGCCCTCCTGCCCAGAGCTGGCCACACTCACTGGCCAGTGTCTGACCTATGAGCCAACCCAGAGGCCATCATTCCGCACTATCCTGCGTGACCTCACCCGGCTGCAACCCTACAGTGAGTTCCATTCCAGCGCTGGGACCCTGGGGAAGCGGGACGGGGCTGGGATCCCTGCTCTATTTCCATAGTGCATGCGAGGTCTCTGCACTGTATTTCGGGGTGTGTGCCAGTTTCTTGCAGTAGCGTTCACAAGTGTGTTCTGCCTGACTGCCCTGAGCTCTCCTTAATGTATTTATGTATTTATTTGTTTATTGTAATGGAATCTTGTTCTCTCACCCAGGCTGGCACACAGTGGTGCTATCTTGGCTCATTTTAACTTCCACCTCCTAGGTTCAAGCTATCCTCCCATCTTAGCCTCCCAAGTAGTTGGGATTACAAGCATGTGCCGCCATGCCCAGCTAATTTTTTGTATTTTTAGTAGAAATGGGGTTTTGCCATGTTGGCCAGGCTGGTCTCAAACTCTTTTTTTTCTTTTCCTGAGATGGAGTTTTGCTCTTGTTGCCCAGGCTGGAGTGCAATGGTGCAATCTTGGCTCACTGCAACCTCTGCCTTCTGGATTTAAGCAATTCTCCTGCCTTAGCCTCCTGAGTAGCTGGGATTACAGGCGCATGCCACCACATCTGGCTAATTTTTATATTTTTAGTAGAGATGGGGTTCCGCCACATTGGCCAGGCTAGTCTCGAACTCCTGACCTTGTGCACCACCCGCCTTGGCTTCCCAAAGTGCTAGGATTATAGGTGTGAGCCACTGTGCCTGGCTTCCTTAATGTTTTGTTTGGGGAGAGATACGACTTCTTTGAATTAATTAGAGAATTAGACCATTGCAGTTTTTTCTTTTTAAAAAATTTTTGTATTGTTTTCTTAAAAAAATTAATATGGTATTTTCAACTGGCCATATCACATTTTTCTGTTTTTTGTTTTATTTATTTATTTTGAAATGGAGTTTCACTCTTGTTACCCAGGCTGGAGTGCAATGGCGTGATCTCGGCTCACCGCAACCTCCGCCTCCTGGGTTCAGGCAATTCTCCTGCCTCAGCCTCCTGAGTAGCTGGGATTACAGGCACGTGCTACCATGCCCAGCTAATTTTTGGTATATTTTTTAGTAGAGACAGGGTTTCACCATGTCGACCAGGATGGTCTTGATCTCTTGACCTCGTGATCCACCCGCCTTGGCCTCCCAAAGTGCTGGGATTACAGGCGTGAGCCACCGCGCCCGGCCTGTTTTTTGTTTTAAAGACTAGGTCTTGCTGTGTTGCCCAGGCAGGAGTATGGTGGCTATTCACAGGCATGATCATGGCTCACTGCAGCCTGGAACTCCTGGGCTCAAGGGATCCTCCCGCCTGGGTCTCCCAAAGTGCTGGGATTACAGGCGTGAGCCACCATGCCTGCCAGTTTTCCCCTTTTCTGTATGAAACATCTGTGTCGGCCGGGCGCAGTGGCTCACACCTATAATCCCAGCACTTTGGGAGGCCAAGGCGGGTGGATCACAAGGTCAAGAAATCGAGACCATCCTGGTCAACATGGTGAAACCCCGTCTCTACTAAAAATACAGAAATTAGCTGGGCATGGTGGCGCGCGCCTGTAATCCCAGCTACCCGGGAGGTTGAGTCAGGAGAATTGCCTGAACCCAGGAGGCGAACGTTGCGGTGAGCCGAGATTGTGCCATTGCACTCCAGCCTGGGTAACAAGAGTGAAACTCCGTCTCAAAAAAAAAAGAAAAGAAAAGAAACATCTGTGTCCTCTATCCAACCTCAGAACATCCAGATGTCAGGTTTGTTTTTTATTTTTAAGAGACAGTCTCTCTCTGTGGCCCAGGCTCACTGCAGCCTCAAACTCCTAGGCTCAAATGATCCTCCTACCTCAGCCTCCTAAGTAGCTGGGACCACAGGCACATGCCACCACACCTGGGTAATTTTTTTTAAGCTTTTTTTTTTTTTTTTTTCAGAGATGGGGTTTCGCCATGTTGTTCAGGCTGGTCTTGAACTCCTGGGCTTAAACGATCCTCCCATCTCGGCCTCCCAAACAGGTGTCAGTTTTGATGCAGCTGACTCAGCATCATTTTGGACAGAAAGTGGACTCTTAGCTATTGCTGAAAAAGTCTTCTTACCTCTGGGATCGGAGGCTGGGGTAGCTGTGGCCAGCTTTGTGACTCCCAAGTGTGGGCCTGCTGGGAAAGGGTCGGGGTAAGGCCTTACCCACTGCAGCTCTTCCAGATCTTGCTGATGTCTTGACTGTGAACCTGGACTCACCTGCGTCAGACCCTACTGTTTTCCACAAGCGCTATTTGAAAAAGATCCGAGATCTGGGCGAGGTGAGGCAAGGGCCTGGGCTGCCTGCCTGGTAGGGGAGGAGTTTGGGGATTTAGGATAAATTCCTACCTAAGGTGACTTTCAGGAGATCTAGGTGCCAAGGAGTCTTAAGAGCTTGGAGTAGTTTGAGCCTGGGGTATTCCAAATGGATCTGCCTGGAGGAGTGGCCTGGGAAATCGGGGGTTTGGGAGGGGTGCCGGGATTGAGGAGATGGAGCTGATCCTCGTGGGCGCCCGACTAGGGCCACTTCGGTAAGGTCAGCTTGTATTGCTACGATCCGACCAACGATGGCACTGGCGAGATGGTGGCGGTGAAAGCCCTCAAGGCAGACTGCGGCCCCCAGCACCGCTCAGGCTGGAAGCAGGAGATTGACATTCTGCGCACGCTCTACCACGAGCACATCGTCAAGTACAAGGGCTGCAGCGAGGACCAAGGTGGGCGCGACCCCGCGAGCCCCGGAGACCCGGGGGGGCGTGGTTACAGTTGGGTGTGGCATTGTGGGAGGGGCCAGTCTGGCCCAACCAATCTGAGCCTCAACCTCAAGCTGCTGGACGCGGTTCTTGGCAAATGGGTGAACATGGCCAGGCTGCCTCCTTCCCTTCTGGGGGGCGCTACCTGCTGGGGCCAGGATGGGTGGGAGCCACTAGCAGTTCCCTTAAGTTAGAATGGGGTGGTGGATGTGTCCATCCCACCTGAGGAATGGGTCTAGTGTGCGTGAGTCTTGGCCCTTGCTCCCGACCTTGGAGGGCCACTGCTGGGCTCAGGGTAGGCGGTCCCCGGCCCTCCCTTTATCGTCCCCCACCGGGGCCGCCCCTCTCCGTGGCAGGCGAGAAGTCGGTGCAACTGGTCATGGAGTACGTGCCACTGGGCAGCCTCCGAGACTACCTGCCCCGGCACAGCGTCGGGCTGGCCCAGCTGCTGCTCTTCGCCCAGCAGATCTGCGAGGTGGGTCGGCCCTGCCCCTGCTTCCGGAGCTTGCCCTTTCCTCTTCAGCCTGGGCTGGCCTGAGCTGTCCGGTCCCGTCTGCTCTCACCCCCCGCCCCTGCTCATTTGCCCAGGCCGGCTTGTCCTTGCGCTGACCTCCCAATTGGCCGGCTCACTTGGCCACACCTCTCCCAAGGGACCACGCGCGGCAGGCTGTGCCCCTCCCAACTCGCCCTCCAACCCAGCGTTGCTCTCCAACCCCGTCCCTACTTTCTAGTTCAGATTCCTTTTGCTTGGTGCTGCCTGCTATCCAGCCCTCTACAGCGGCCGGGTCGCCACAGGCCTGACCTGACTGTCCCCCAGCCATCCTGGCTGCTCAGGTCCTGCCGCCGCCCCCTGCCGAACCCGCCTCATTGAAACTCACGAGCCCCGCCCCACCCCCCCAGGGCATGGCCTATCTGCACGCGCAGCACTACATCCACCGAGACCTAGCCGCGCGCAACGTGCTGCTGGACAACGACAGGCTGGTCAAGATCGGGGACTTTGGCCTAGCCAAGGCCGTGCCCGAAGGCCACGAGTACTACCGTGTGCGCGAGGATGGGGACAGCCCCGTGTTCTGGTGATCAGGCGGGGTGCAGTCTGAGGGGGTGTTGAGGTCACTTGGAACAGGCAGGGTGAAGTGGAAGGATGCTGGGTCTCATGACAGGGCGTGGTCCCAGTGAAGTGGGGCGGGGCTTAGTCGTGCGGGGGCGGGCCTATGGTTGCAAGGAGCGGGGCATAGAGTGCGGCTTGGCTTGGTGGGCGGGGTTAACCCGGCCTAGTTTATAGGCGCCTCACCTCGCTCAGGTTCCGCTGTTAAGGGTGGGTCCCAACTGAGCCCGGAAAGGTCCTTCAGTCCCAGCTGAGAGCTTCAGCCTGGTGTGACCGCCAAACACTCAGTGCAACACATCCTCAGTACAGCCTCCCCAGGCCTAAGTGTCCTTCTCCCCCTAGGTATGCCCCAGAATGCCTGAAGGAGTATAAATTCTACTATGCGTCCGATGTCTGGTCCTTCGGGGTGACCCTGTATGAGCTGCTGACGCACTGTGCCTCCAGCCAGAGCCCCCCCACGGTGAGAGCCAGTCCCGCAGCCTCACCTGGAGTTTGCTAGAGGAACTAGAAAGGCATGCAGTTTCCCTAGCCCATAGCAAGTGTTAAAAAGCAAACAAAAAACGCTAGGCGCGGTGGTTCACGCCTGTAATCCCAGCACTTTGGGAGGCCGAGGTAGGCAGATCACTTGAGGTCAGGAGTTCGAGACCTGCCTGACCAACATGGTGAAACCCCGTCTTTATTAAAAATACAAAAATTAGACTGATGCCCTTTTCGGCCTCAGCCCACCCACACCTGGGTGAATAAAAAAAAAAAATACAAAAATTAGCTGGGCATGGTGGCAGGCACCTGTAATCCCAACTACTCAGGAGGCTGAGGCAGGAATTACTTGAACTCGGGAGGCGGAAGTTGCAGTGAGCCTAGACCGCCCCACTGCACTCCAGCCTGGGCAACAAGAGTGAAACTACATTTCAAAACCAAAAAAATGGAAAAACATGCATTCACATCCCAACTCATCAGTCCCGCGAGTGCTCACTCACTGAAGCTCACAGTCCTGATCTGTAAAATGGCCCACCTACAGTGCAGGGAGCCACAGACTGACAGAAACCCTTAAACGGAGGTAGGCAAAATAGGAACAGTTTATTCTATTTGCACATTCCATGGATGGGGAGGGCCGGGGGCTTCAACCTGGACTCTCAGATGTCATCAGGAATCCTATTTTCTCCATCGGATCTACTGTTTGTGGTGGCATCTGTCAGGGAAGATTTCCCTCTGTGTGGCAACAGTGCCCCCTAACCCTCAAGGAACTCATACCTCTGGCTTAGGGTCCCAGTGGTCCTTTTACCTGCTTTTCTCAGAACTTGCTCGGCTTAGTCCAGCCTGGTTCCTGTGTGCTTCTCCGAGCCAATCACTGTGTAGTCACCGACCACAGGGATTGGCCAGTCCTGACCTTGGGGGAGGAGCCAAGAGTGTGTTGGGGCTTATTTTTATTTTTTTCCACCAGAACAAGAAGCGCCTTTATGAGACGGGAAAAAAAAGGCTGGGACGGTAGCTCACTCCTGTAATCCCAACACGTTGGGAAGTCGAGGCGGGAGCATCGCTTGAACCCAAGAATTCAAGACCAGCCTGGGCAATATAGTGAGACTTCGTTTTTCTTTTCTTTTCTTTTTTTTTTTTTTTTTTTTTTTTTTGGACAGAGTTTCGCTCTGTCCCCATGCTGGAATGCAGTGAGGCGATCTCGGCTCACTGCAACATCCGCCTGCGGGGTTCAAGTGATTCTCCTGCCTCAGCCTCCTGAGTAGCTGGGATTACAAGCATGTGCTACCACACCCGGCTAATTTTTGTATTTTCAGTAGAGACGGAGTTTCACCATATTGACCAGGATGGTCTCGATCTCCTGACCTCGTGATCCGCCTGCCTCAGCCTCCCAAAGAGCTGGGATTACAGGCCCGAGCCACCGAACCCCGCTTTTTTGTTTGTTCGTTTTTGAGATGGAGTCTCACTGCAACTTCCACCTTCCGAGTGCAATTCTCGTGCCTCAGCCTCCTAAGACCTTGTATCTTTAAAAAAAAAAAAAAAAAAAAAAAAATCAGCTGGGCATGGTGGTGGGTGCCTGTAATCCCAACTACTCGGGAGGCTGAAGTAGGAGAATTGCTTAAACCTGGGAAGCAGAGATTGTAGCGAGCCAAGATCGTGCCACTGCACTCCAGCCTGAGCAACAGAGCAAGACTCCGTTTAAAAACAACAACAATAAACACTTGGTGTGTTGGCTCACGCCTGTAATCCCAGCACTTTGGGAGGCTGAGGTGGGCGGATCATCTGAGATCAGGAGTTAAAGACCAGCTGGGCAAACATGGTAAAAAAAAGTACAAAATATACAGTGGCCACAGAGGGGGCCTCCTGCTCCCTATCCCAGGAGGAAACCAAGAGGGGGAAGTCAGTCTCAACCACACCCTGTCTGTGCCTTACTCCTATCTGGAGACCCCACCTCTGTGAACCTATTTTTCTTCCATGGCCATTGTGGTGGGTGCCTGTAATCCCAGCTACTCAGGAAGCTGAGGGAGGGGGAATTGCTTGAAACCAGGAGTTGGAGGTTGCAGTGAGCAGAGATCCTGCCACAGCACTCCAGCCTGGGTGACAGAGCAAGACTAAAAAAAAAAAATTCTGGCTGATAAGAACCTGCTGTAAGTCTTGACAGCAAACACCTGACTCAGGCTTGCTCTACAACTGTTATGTCAACGTGCACAGTCATCCCAGGTGGCAGATGTTATCCTATTTTAGGGATGAGAAAACTGAGGCCCAGAGAAGTGAACTCAAAGTCACACGACCCATGCAGTCAATTTCATGAAGTTGCAGAGTGATTTTTTTTTTTTTTTTTTTTGAGATGAAGTTTCACTCTTGTTGCCCAGGCTGGAGTGTAATGGTATAATCTTGGCTCACCACAACCTCTGCCTCCCAGGTTCAAGCAATTATTTTGCCTCAGCCTCCCCAGTAGCTGGGATTACACGTGCCTGCCACCATGCCCAGCTAATTTTTGTATTTTTAGTAGAGATGGGGTTTCACCATATTGGCCAGGCTGGTCTCGAACTCCTGACCTCAGGTGATCCACCTGCCTCAGCCTCCCAAAGTCCTGGGATTACAGGCATGAGCCACCTTGCCTGGCCTTCATTGCCTCTTGAAAAGAGCTTGTCTTGTTTCTACTGTAGAAATTCCTTGAGCTCATAGGCATCACCCAGGGTCAGGTGACAGTACTGAGACTCACTGAGTTGCTGGAACGAGGGGAGAGGCTGCCACGGCCCGACAAATGTCCCTGTGAGGTGAGACTTCCTTAGTTTTTCGCTGTCCCTGCCATCCTGCTGTGGAGAGGACAACCCCCACCTGCTCTGGTTTTTCCTTTTAGGTCTATCAACTCATGAAGAACTGCTGGGAGATGGAGGCATCCTTCCGCCCAACCTTCCAGAACCTCATACCCATCCTGAAGACAGTCCATGAGAAGTACCAAGGCCAGGCCCCTTCGGTGTTCAGTGTGTGCTAAGTCACAGTGGCAGCCCTGCCTGGGAGGATTGGGCCAGGCAGCGGCCGCAGAGGGGGCCTCCTGCTCCTTACCCCAGGAGGAAGCCAGGAGGGCGAAGTCATCAACCACACCCTGTGACTCACTCCTATCTGGAGACCCCACCTCTGTGAACTGACTTTTCTTCCATGGCCATAAGTCTAACCATGATCTTGAGGGACCCAAGATGTGTGGGGCACTAATCCAGCCCCTGAATCCCCAGCTCCCAAACTTCCCCACCATTTCCACCGTCTGGTAATAAACTCCTGTTTCCTCTGCTGGAGTCCTTGATTCTTGGAGCTCTGTTTCAGCAAGGTGGGTTAGCTGGAGGTCTGGTCTCCTACGGGCTGCAGCTAGCATGAGACACTGAAGAGGTAGCTGGATTCAACTATTTCTTTATTTTTTGAGACAGAATTTTGCTCTTGTTGCCTAGGCTGCTGGGAGATGGAGGCATCCTTCCCAGATGGAGGCTACTGGGAGATGGAGGGCAATGGCATGATCTCGGCTCACTGCAACCTCCACCTCCTGGGTTCAAGCTATTCTGCCCCAGCCTCCCGAGTAGCTGGGATTATAGGCACTGGCCACCACGCCCAGCTAATTTTTTGTACTTTTAGTAGAGACAGGGTTTAACCATGTTGGTCAGGCTGGTCTTGAACTCCTAACCTCAGGTGATCCACCCACCTTGGCCTCCCAGTGTTGGGATTATAGGCGTGAGTCAATGTACCAGCCAGGATTCAACAATTTAATTTTTTTTTTTTTTTTTGGACAGGGTCTGGTTCTGTCACTAAGTCTTAGAGTGGAGTGGCTCGATCTCACTCACTGCTACCTCTGTCGTTTGGGCTCAAGTGATCCTCCAGCTTCACTCTCCCCAGTAGCTGGGACCACAGGCATGCGCCACCACACCAGGCTAATTTTTTTCTGGTACTTTTGTAGAGACTGGGTTTTGCCATGTTGTTCAGGGTGGTCTCAAAATCCTGAGCTCAAGCCATGCATCCATCTTAGCGTCCCAAAGTGCTAGGATTACACAGTGGTGAGCTACCGCACCAGGCCTCAACTAATTACACTTTTACCTACTCCCAGACCAACAGCCAGTCCAGTACCTGGTACACAGAAGTCACTCAATAACTACCTGTTTGTTTTGACATGGAATCTCGCTTGTAGCCCAGGCTGGAGTGCAATGGTACAATCTCGGCTCACTGCAACCACCACCTCCTGGGTTCAAGAGATTCTCCTGCCTCAGCTTCCTGAGTAGCTGGGATCAAAGGTGCCCACCACCATGCTCGGCTAAGTTTTGTATTTTTAGTGAAGATGAGATTTCACTACATTGGCCAGGCTAGTCTTGAACTCGTGACTTCAGGTGATCCACCTGCCTCGGCCTCCCCAAAGTGCTGGGATTACAGTCGTGAGCCACCGGGCCCAGCTAATAACTAGTTGCTGAATGCACAAAGTATTTGGTTGGGGCAGTCACATGCTACATAGATTGGACTGCCAGTTTCACGCTTTCACATTTCTGTGTGACCTCAGGCAAATGGCTTCACCTCTCTGGGCCTTGGTCCTCCATTATGGAACCTTCACACTTGTTACTTCATAGGATTTATGTAAAGAGCTCATGAGGTGGTGTCTGTAAAATGCTTAGCAGAAAGACATGCAAACAAGTGCTTAATAGTCAATATTATAGTTGGCTGTACACAGTGAGTCATGCCTATAATGTCAGCACTTTGGGAGGCTGAGGCAGGAAGATTCCTTGAGCCCAGGAGTTCCAAGACCAGCCTGGGCAACATACGAAGACCTGATCTGTATTATTTTTAAATGAAAATTTAAAAAATGAGGTTGGTTGGCTATAGTGTCTCACATCTGTAATCCCAGCACTTTGGAAAGCCAAGGTGGGCAGATCAGTTAAGGGCAGGAGTTTGAGACCAGCCTGGCCAACATGGAGAAACCATGTCTCTACTAAAAATACAAAAATTGGTGGGGCACAGTGGCTCACGCCTGTAATCTCAGCACTTTGGGAGGCCAAGGCAGGTGGATCACCTGAGGTCCGGAGTTCGAGACCAGCCTGGCCAACATGGTGAAACCCCTTCTCTACTAAAAATGCAAAAATTAGCTGAGCATGGTGGTGGGTGCCTGTAATCCCTGCTACTTGGGAAGCTGAGGCAGGAGAATCACTTGAACCCAGAAGGTGGAGGTTGCAGTGAGCCGAGAGCATGCCATTGCCCTCCAGCCTGGGCAGCAAGAGCAAAACTCCAACTGAAAAAAAATATTTAGCCAGGTATGGTGGCACGTGTCTGTAATCTCAGCTACTGGAGAGGCTGAGGCAGAATTGCTTGAATTGGAAGGCAGAGTACAGTGAGCTGAGGTCACACCACTGCACTCCAGCCTGGGCAAGAGAGCAAGACGCTCTCAAAAAAGAAAAAAAAAGTATTGGCCAGGTGTGGTGGCTCACGCCTGTAATCCCAGTACTTTGGGAGGCCAAGGTGGGTGGGTCATGAGGTCAGAAGATGGAGACCATCCCAGCCAAGATGGTGAAACCCCATCTCTACTAAAATACAAAAAAAATTAGCTGGGCGTGGTAGAGTGTGCTTGTAGTCCCAGTCACTTGGGATACTGAGGCAGGGGAATTGCTTGAACCCAGGAGGCAGAGGTTGCAGTGAGGCAAGATCACACCACTGCACTCCAGCCTAGGTGGCAGAGCGAGACTCTCTCACAAAAAAAGAAAAAAAAAAAAAAAATCTGGGGAACAATCCAAGATGGCTGATCGCTAACATCTCGGGATTGCAGCTCTCAGAGAAAGCGCAGAGAACTAGAGCACGCGAAACTTTCAGACAAATTCTGGTCGCTCATGGAGCAGAAGATCCTCGGAGCAGAGTAAACAGGGCTGGCTCCCCTTCTGACCGAGGTTTGGAGGGGCCACACTGGTCCCCAGCACGACTCCTGAGGCTGGTGCAGCGGCTGTGACGGCACCTCGGCGGGGCAGCTCTCAGCGCAGAGTAAATGAGACCAGTTCCCCTTCTGACCGTGGTTTGGAGCCCCGGGAAGGCAGAGTTGCCTATTATGGACACAAGAAGGAAGCCAAACAGGAGAATCCTGGGCAGAAAAGCACCACCAGTCTTAACACCGCCGTTCTGGCCCTGGGAACTAACAACCTGGACGTCCACTCAAGAGACCTAATCTGAAAGTTGGTAATTTCAAAGACGGCAGGAGGATAAATTTACAATGACGGGAAGAAACCAGCGTAAAAAAGTGGAGAATACTCAAAGTCAGAACGCCTCTCCCTCTAAAGATGATCACAGTTCCACATCAACAATGGAACAAGGCTTGATGGAGAACGAGCGCCTCCTGATGACAGAATCACTCTTCAAGGAATGGTTAATAACAAACTTCGGTGAGTTAAAAGAACATGTTGTAGCCCAACGTAAAGAAACTAGGAACTTTGAAAAAAGGTTTGATGAAATCCTATTGAGAATAGACAACTTAGAGAGGAGTATGAGTGAATTAATGGAACTGAAGAATACAATACAGGAACTCCGAGAAGTATGCACAGGTTTAAACACTTGAATTGTTCAAGCAGAAGAAGGGATATCAGAGGTCAAAGTCCAATTTAATGAAATAAAACGTGAAGAAAAGATTAGAGAAAAAAGGATAAAAAGGAATGAGCAAAGTCTCCAAGAAATGTGGGACTATGTGAAAAGACCAAATTTACGTTTGATAGGTGTACCTGAATGCGACGGAGAGAATGAATCCAAGCTGGAAAATACCCTTCAGGATATTATTCAGGAAAATTTTCCTAAACTAGCAAAGCAGGTCAATATTCAACCCCAGGTAATACAGAGAACACCACAAAGATATTCCTCAAGAAGAGCAACCCCAAGGCACATAATCATTAGATTCACCAGGGTTGAAACGAAGGAGAAAATACTAAGGGCAGCCAGAGAGAAAGGTCAGGTTACCCACAAAGGCAAGCCTATCAGACTTACAGCAGATCTCTCGGCAGAAACTCTACAGGCCAGAAGAGAGTGGGGGCCAATACTCAACATCCTCAAAGAACAGAACCTTCAGCCCAAAATTTGATATCCAGCCAAACTAAGCTTCACAACTGAAGGAAAAATAAAATCTTTTATGAACAAGCAAGAACTCAGAGATTTTATTACCACCAGGCCTGCTTTACAAGAGCTTCTGAAAGAAGCATTACACACAGAAAGAAACAACCAGTATTAGCCTTTCTAAAAATATACCAAAAAGTAAAGAGCACCAACATAAAGAAGAATTTACATCAACGAATGGATAAAACAGCCAGTCAATATCAAATGGCAGTAACCCTAAATTTAAATCGACTAAATCCCCCAATCAAAAGACACAGCCAAAACCCAATGGCATGTTACATCCAGACCTGTTTCACATGCAAGGATACACAAAGACTCAAAACAAAGGGATGGAGAAAGATTTACCAACCAAATGGAGAGCAAAAGTAAATAAATAAAAAGCAGGAGTTGCAATTCTCGTAGCGGATAAAATAGATTTTAAAGCAACAAAGATACAGTGGTAAAAGGATCAATACAACAACAAGAGCTAACGATCCTAACACCCAGGTACATAGAGACTTAGATTCAATGAGACAGAAAATTAATAAGGATATCAAGGACTCGAACTCAGATCCGGAACAAGTAAACTTAATAAATATTTATAGAGCTCTCCACTTCAAATACACAAAATATACATTCTTGTCAATACCACATCACACCTACTCATAGGTTTAAATGAAACATTGATTGGCCATTATTAATACCCTTTTTTTTTTCAGAATAAAGCAATATTTCCTTTCACCCTCCCTCTTTCTCTTCCTCTTTCTTCCTCTCCTTTACTCATTTTTTTCTTTCCCTCTCTCAAAAAAAAGAAATCAATTTGTAAACCTCTAGATCCAGGTCGGCAATGTCTCTCTCATTGCTTGATTTGATTTCCTTCCCTCCCTCCCTCCCTCCCTCCCCCCTTCCTCCCTCCCTTCCTTCCTTCATCCCTCCCTTCCTGCCTTCCTCCCTTCCTCGCCCCCCCCAAAAAATCTATGAACTTACATTTACATACCATTTTCCCCCCAAATTCTGTACATGAGGGTTCACTCTTCCTGTTGTACATTCTGTGGGGTTGGACAAACGTATAAGGCATTATAGTATCACGTGGAGTAGTTTCACTGCCCTAAAAGTCATTCATGCTCTGTCTATTCATCCCTCCCTTCTCACTAATCCCTGGCAACCACTGATCTGTTATTTACTGTCCCCACAATTTTGAAACAGTCTTGCTCTGTTACCCAGGCTGGAGTGCAGTGACGCAATCTCTGCTCACTGCAACCTCTGCCTCCCATGCTCAAGCTAATTCTGTATTTTTTGTAGAGGCAAAATTTTGCCATGTTACCCAGACTGGTCTCAAAGTCCTGGGTTTAAATGATTCTCCTACCTTGGCCTCCCAAAGTTCTGGGCTTTCAGGCATGAGCCACCACACCCAGCCAATAGATCATTTCTTTTCAGTTTTGAATAAAAAATAAAAATACAAACAAAGTCCCCAATTGCATTTGGTTGAGGCCAGTTTTTTGTAAATCTCTTTTTTTTTGAGACGGAATCTCACTCTGTCGCCCAGGCTGGACTGTAGTGGCACAACCTCAGTTCACTGCAACCTCTGCCTCCCCAGTTCAAGTGATTCTCCTGCCTCAGCCTCCTGAGTATCTGAGATTACAGGTGCCTGCACCACACCCAGCTAATTTTTGCACTTTTAGTAGAGATGGGGTTTCACTATGCTTCCCAAGCTGGTCTCCAACTCCTGACCTCAAGTATCCACCCACCTGGCTTCCCAAAGTACTGGGATTACAGGTGTAATTCACCATGCCTCGCCTGTAAGTCTCTTTTAGTCCTTAAAAAAAGGAAATGGAATAAAAAAATAAAAATACAGGCCAGGCATGGTGGCTTACACCTGTAATCCCAGCAATTTGGGAGGCTGAGGCAGGAGGATCACCTGAGGTCAAGAGTTCAAGACCAGCCTGACCAACATGGAGAAACCCTGTCTTTACTAAAAACACAAAATTAGCTGGTTGTGGTGGTGCATGCCTGTAATCTCAGCAACTCGGGAGGCTGAGACAAGAGCATCGCTTGAACCCAGGAGGCGGAGGTTGCCATGAGTTGAGATTGTAACCATTGCACTTAAGCCTGGGCAACAAGAGTGAAACTCTGTCTCAAAAAAAAAAAAAAAAAAGAAAAAAATAAGGGATTCTGTCTCTTGGCCTTGGAGCCCCCCTCCCTCTGGCTCTGTACAGCGGAGCTGCTTCTTTTTTTCTTTCCCCTTCTTTCTTGCCTATTAAACTCCCTGCTCCTTAAAACTAATTAATTCATTAATAATAAAAATATAAACAAGGTCCCCAGTTGCACTGGTGGGGGCCAGTTCTCTGTGTAAGTCTCTTTTGGTCTGTGGGTTCCTCTTGCTGTCTTTTGCTCCCTTGCAACATATTTGTTGATGAAACTATGTTTGTCCTATTGACTTTCTTTCTTTTTTTTTTTTTTTTTTTTTTTTAACAGAATCTTGCTCTGTCACCCAGGCTGGAGTGCTGTGGCATGGTCTCGGCTCACTGCAACCTCCACCTCCTGGGTTCAAGCATTTCTCCTGTCTCAGCCTCCCAAGTAGATGGGATTACAGGTGTGGGTGAGCATACCTGGCTAATATTTATATTTTTAGTAGAGATGGGATTTCACCATGTTGGCCAGGGTAGTCTTGAACTCCTGATCTCAGGTGATCCATCTGCGTCTGCTTCCCAAAGTGCTGGGATTACAGGGATGAGCCACTGAGCCTGGCCTATACTGTTGACTTTGCCAATCTGACGTTCTGTCAGCTGAACTTGACTTGCTGTAAACTGTTAGATTCACTTTCGATTTTTTAGTGAGATTACTTAATGGAAGGCATTCATGCTCTCAGAGGAAGGACACAAGTTCTGCTTGTTCTTCCTTTTGTGACATGAGTCGCCACCACCCAGATCCATCAAAGATGCAGTTTGTATTTTCCTCTTTTTTTTTCGAGATCGAGTTTTCTTGATTTATTGCCCAGGCTGGAGTGCAGTGGCACAATCTCGGCTCACTGCAACTTGTGCCTCCCGGGTTGAAGCAGTTCTCCTGTCTTAGCCTCCCGAGTAGCTACGACTACAGGCAGGTGCCACCATGCCCGGCTAATTTTTGTATTTTTAGTAGAGATGGGGTTTCACCATATTGGTCAGGCTGGTCATACGTGGTGGCGAGTGCCTGTAATCGCAGCTACTCAGGGAGGCTTAGGCAGGAGAATCACTTGAACCTGGGAGGTGGAGGCTGTAGTGAGCCAAGGTCTTGCCACTGCACTCCAACCTGGGAAACAAATCAAGACTCCATCTCAAAAAAAAAAAAATCTTTCAACATGTACATAGTCGAATGTGTTCCATGTTTTTAGTGAGGATTCCCAAAAGGCTTTTAGAGGGTTTTTTCTTTTTCTTAATTTTTTTTTTTTTTAAAGACAGAGTTTTCGCTCTTGTTACCCAGGCTGGAGTGCAATGGTGTGATCTTGGCTCACCGCAACCTCCGCCTCCTGAGTTCAGGCAATTCTCCTGCCTCAGCCTCCTGAGTAGCTGGGATTACAGGCACGTGCCACTATGCCCAGCTAATTTTTTGTATTTTTAGTAGAGACGGGGTTTCATGATGTTGACCTGGATGGTCTCGATCTCTTGACCTCATGATCCACCTGTCTCGGCCTCCCAAAGTGCTGGGATTACAGGTTTGAGCCACCGTGCCTGGCCAATTTTTATTTTTGAAATAATAGAGACAGGGGTCTCCTTATGTTGCCCAGGCTGGTCTCAAACTCCTGGGCTCAAGTGATCCTCCCAAAGTGCTGGAATTATAGGTGTGAGCCACCATGCCCAGCCAAGTTTAATTTTTTCACAATAAAGGAAAGGAACAGTGTTAATCTATGATTGTCAGAACAGCAATTAATAAGATCATCTTCAGCTGGGCCCAGTGGCTCACACCTATAATCCTAGCACTTTAGGAGGCCGAAGCAGGAGGATCACCTGAGAACAGGAGTTTAAGGCCAGCCTGGGCAACATGGTGAAACCCCACCTCTATTAAAAATACAAAAATTAGCCAGACATGGTGGCAGGCACTCAGGAGGCTGAGGCAGGAGAATTGCTTGAACCTAGGAGGCAGAGGATGCAGTGAGCCACGATCGCACCACTGCACTCCAGCCTGGGCAACAAAGTGATAACCTATCTCAAAAAATAATGATAATAATAAGATCATCTTCAGAGCTCAGTTCCTGGTGCATGAAGAGACTCAATACAGCCTCTGGCTCTCAGTTCTTAGAAGAATATGAAAGAGATAAGATCAATAAATACCTTCATTGTTTAATAGCCGAGAGTGAAAGCCAGGCACAGTGGTTCACCCCTGTAATCCCAGCACTTTGGGAGGCTGAGGTGGGAGAATTGCTTGAACCTGGGAGGCGGAGGTTGCAGTGAGCCCAGATAGTGCCATTGTACTACAGCCTGGGCAACAAGTGAGACCGTGTCTCAAAAAAAAAAAAAAAAAAACTCAGCTGAAGCTTAACTGATATAGTTTGCAATCCAGACTATCCTTGCTTTCTTGTAAAGGTTTTAAGAAATGTGCAGAGGCCACCCCCACTTTCTTTTCTCTCTCTCTCTCTCTTTTTTTTTTTTTAAGACAGAGTCTTGCTCTGTGGCCCAGGCTGGAAAAAGTAGATCTCGGCTCACTGAAACTTCCACCTCCTGGGTTCAAGCAATTCTCCTGCCTCAGCCTCCCGAGTAGCTGGGATAACAGGGGCGTACCACCATGCCTGGCTAATTTTTGTATTTTTAGTAGAGACGGGGTTTCTCCATATTGGTCAGGGGTGGTCTCAAAACTCCTGATCTTGTAATCCCACCTCAGCCTCCCAAAGTGCTGGGATTACAGGTGTGAGCCACCACACCGGGCCGCAGAGGCCCCTTAAACATGTGTAGGTGACCTTTCTCTGTCACCCAGACTGGAGTGCAGGGGTGCAATCTCAGCTAACTGCAACCTCAATCTCCCGAGCTCAAGCAATCCTCCTGTTGCAGCCTCCTGAGTTGCAGGGAGTACAGGTGTAGTCCCACTTGTGGCTGATTTTTTTTTTTTTTTTTAGTAGAGACAGGGTTTTGCCCAGGCTGGTCTCAAACTCCCAACCTCAAGGGATCTGCCCACCTTGGCTTCCCAAAGTGCTAGGATTACGGGCATAAACCACCATGCCCAGCCTAGAAATATTTCTTTATCAGAAATATTACTGGCGGGTGCAGCTGCAGTGGGGCATACCTATAATGCCAGCACTTTGGGAGGTCAAGGCAGGCAGGTCCCTTGATTAGGAGTTCCAGACCAGTCTGGGCAAAATGGTGAACGCTGTTTCTACAAAAAATTAGCCAGGCACAGTGATGTGCACCTGTGCTCCCAGCTCTAGGGAGGCTGGGCTGGAGGACTGCTTGAACCTGGGAGGCAGGGGCTGCAGTTAGCTAAGATTGCATCCCTGCACTCCAGCCTGGCGGCCACAATGAGAACCTGTTTCAAAAAAAAAAAAAAAAAAAAAAATATATATATATATATATATATATATATATATATAATTTATTTTTATGATTATTTTTTTGATACAGGGTCTCACTCTGTCACCCAGACTGGAGTGCAGTGGTGTGATTTCGGCTCATTGTAACCTCCGCCTCCCAGGCTCAAGCAATTTCCTGCCTCAGCCTCCTGAGTAGCTGGGATTATAGGTGCAAGCCACCATGCCTGGCTAATTCTTTTTGTATTTTTAGTAGAAATAGGGTTGCACCATGTTGGCCAGGCTGGTCTCCAACTCCTGACCTCAAATGGTCAACCCGCCTCGGCCTCCCAAAGTGCTGGGATTACAGGTGTGAGTCACCCGGACAGAAATATGATTTATTGACAAATATTTCTTTCATTTTTATTTTTACAGACAGGGTCTCACTATTATATAAATATTATAATTATTTTAAAATAGAATCTTGCTCTGTCGCCCAGGCAAGAGTGCAGTGGTGCAATTTCAGCTCACTGCAACCTCCACCTCCCGGGTTCAAGCAATTCTTGTGCTGCAGCCTCCCGAGAAGCTGGGATTATAAGTGCAAGTCACCACACCCAGCTAATTTTTGTATTTTTAGTAGAGACGGGGTTTCATCATGTTGTCCAGGCTGATCTGGAACTCCTGACCTCAAATGAGCTGCCCACCTCCACCTCCCAAAGTGCTGGGATTACAGTCATGAGCCACTGAGCCCCGCATCTTTGTTTTTGGAAACAGGGTCTCACTGTATCGCTCAGGCTGGAGTGCACAGGTGCAATCTCGGCCCATTGCAGCATCAGCCTCCCAGGCTCTGATCCTCTCACCTCAGTCTCCCAAGGAGCTGGGACTACAGGCGCCAGGCCCATGATACTGGGCCCTGCTATTTACAAATACTTCGGACTTGGATTTAGTTGCCCTCTCAACACCAGGTGGGAGATGGAATGTCAGGAAGGCAGAGCAATAGAGGAGGGACCTCGTTAGGAAGGCAGGGGTGCTCCATATGACAGAGGAGGTGCTGTGACCTCAAGGTCTGGGGAATGTGGGTGAATACAGGGCCCCATCAAGGCCCTCAACAAGGTCCCTCTCTGGAGCTCAGATGTGAGGCCCAGGAGGCAGATCCCCTCATTGGTGCCTACCCTTGGAATGAAGTGACCAGCTGCCTGGAGGGGTGAGCAAGGGGGCAATGGGATGGAGTAAAGTCCAGTTACAAATAGAATTCTGGAAGGCAGGGTGAGGTGGCTCAGGCATGTAATCCCTTTGGAGGCCAAGGCAGGTGGATCCCTTGAGGTTAGGAGTTCAAGAACAGCCTGGCCAACATGGTGAAATCCCATCTCTACCAAAAAGTGCAAAAATTAGCCGTGCATAGTGGTGCACACCTGTAGTCCCAGCTACTCGGGAGGCCGAGGCAGGAGAATCGCTTGAACCTGGGAGGCAGAGGCTGTAGTGAGCCAACATCCCACCACTGCACTCCAGCCTGGGTGACAGAGTGAGACCCTGTCTCAAAACAAAACAAAAACCAAGGAGAATCCTGGAACGACAGTGGCTCAGGGACTCAGCTGTCCCCAAAACATGTGCCTCCTCTCTTTGTGCAGGGGATGGGGGTCCCCAAGATCTTCAAGATAGGGAGGTGTCCCCAAGATCTTCAAAGGTGGCCAGGCGAGGTGGCTCAAGCCTGTAATCCCAACACTTTTTGGGGTCAAGATGGGAGGATCAGCCGTGCACAGTGGCTCATGCCTGTAATCCCAGAACCTTGGGAGGCCAAGGCGGGCAGATCATTTGAGGTCAGGAGTTCGACACCAGTCTGGCCAACATGGTGAAACCCTGTCTTTACTTAAAAAAAAAAAAAAAAAAATAGCTAGGTGTGGTGGTGCATGCCTGTAATCCCAGCTACTCAGGAGGCTGAGGCAGGGGAATCACTTGAACCAGGAGGTGAAGGCTGCAGTGAGCCACGGTTGCACCACTGCACTCCAGCCTGGGCAACAGAGGAAACTCTGTCTCAAAAAAAAAAAAAGAAAAATGGGAGGATCGCTTGAGGCCAGGAGTTCAAGACCAGTCGGGCCAAAACTGCAATAGCCTGTTTCTGGGTGTTTTTTTTTGTTTTTGTTTTTTGATGTTGCCTCAAAATCCCGCCTTATCGCCTAAACAATGGTGCTGGCAGGTTTCCCCACTAATTTCCTCTCTGGGGACCACATTTTCCCCTCCCCACCTAAGTTCAACCGGAAGGAGGTGTCTCATCCCCCTCCTACCCCAGGCTCCCCAGTGCTGAGAACATAGGAAGCCAGTTTACTTAGCATTTCCTGTGAATTGAACTGGGGCCAAAAATGCAACTGAGGCCAGCCCTGTCCCTGGGAGAGACAGCAGTGCTGGCCACTTTGCTGGGCCCTGTCTGGGTCCCCCACCCTAGCCTTCCAGGCCAAGCATCCCCTTCTAACCAAAGGCCTGGGCAAGGTGCAGCCCCCAGACTTCTGCAATCTTAACCGCTGTGCTGTGTGCTTCCTCTTGCGGTGGGAGCGCCCCCCCCCCCCCCCCCCCCCCGTCTGCCCTTCAGCACAAGAAGGCACCTTCCTCTGTCAGAATGGCCACCATGATACCTGCCGTGTCGTGGCTCCGGGCCTGCTGGACTCTGCTGGTCTGCTGTCTGCTGACCCCAGGTGAGGCCAGTCAAGCCAGGGAGGGCTGGGGAGGGCTGGGGAGGGCTGGGTTTTGGGATCAGTAGAGGGTGAAGAAAGAGAAAGCAATCCTCTTCGCATCCTGCCACACTGTGCCCTGGCTGCTGGCCCTGTATCTTCAGGGGAAAGTTCTGGTTCCTTAGTTCAGCCTTCAGGTGGTCAGGCCCCAGCATGCGGCTTGTACGACACCCCTCTCCCCCAACACACACACACACCCCCCACACTTCCTGCTCCATCTGAACTCCAGACATTTGCCCTTTGCGTATGTGGTTCCCTCTGCCAGGATCACCCTTTCCTTTCACTTGCTAACTCCTACTTAGCCTTCAGTTTCAGGCTGGCATGGTCCCCCTCCTCCAGGAAGCCTTCCTTGACTCACCTCTTCCTATGCCGGATCAGAGCCTCTTCTGACCTCCTTCTGAGTTCTCCCTGGTCCCTGATGGATCCTGCCTTTCCCCATGGACCATGAGGGCAGGAACCCTTCTTTCTCGGCTCAAGGAAAGTGGTGTTAAATGGTGGGACCTGCTGGTGCTAGGGTTGTGGGGCAAGGAAACCACCACCAGGACTTCTTCGTGTTCCTGAAGGTGTCCAGGGGCAGGAGTTCCTGTTGCGGGTGGAGCCCCAGAATCCGGTGCTTCCTGCTGGAGGTTCCCTGTTGGTGAACTGCAGTACTGACTGTCCCAGTGCTGAGCAGGTCACCTTGGAGACATCCCTGTCAAAGGAGCTGGTGGACAACGGCACGGGCTGGGCAGCCCACCGGGTCAGCAACGTGACTGGCAACAGCCGGATCCTCTGCTCAGGGTACTGCAATGGTTCGCAGATAATAGGCTCCACTGGCATCACCGTCTACAGTGAGTCAATGTGTCCGGAGGTGGGACGGTTCTCTGGCAGTGGTGCGGGCAGGAGGCCAATGGCTCGGGAGAGTAGGGGCCCTTAGTGTGCAAAGAATGGACTAGGGCTCTGACCCAGAGCTCAGACCTGGATATTTGTGTGTGGGATACAAAGACAGAGAGAAGGCTGGGTGTGGTGGCTCATGCCTGTAATCCCAGCACTTTGGGAGGCTGAGACGGGTGTATCACGAGGTTATGAGTTCAAGAACAACATGGCCAAGATGGTAAAACCCCATCTCTACTAAAAATACAAAAAAATTAGCCGGGCATGGTGACAGGCGCCTGTAATCTAATCTACTTGGGAGGATGAGGCAGAGAATCACTTGAACCCGGAAGGCAAAGGTTGCAGTGAGCCAAGATCCTGCCACTGCCCTCCAGCCTGGGCAACAGAGCAAGACTCCATCTCAGACAAACAAACAACAAAAAAAACAAAGAGAGAGACACACAGAGACGCAGAGACACATTCAATCTCATGCCAAGGCAGCAGTTGTGAAATCAATCAACTTCTGCCCCAACAAGTTTTTTCTTTTTTTTTTTTTTGAGATGGAGTTTGGCTCTTTTTGCCCAGGTTGGAGTGCAGTGGGGCGATCTCAGCTCACTGCAACCTCCACCTCCTGGGTTCAAGTGATTCTCCTACCTCAGCCTCCCATGTAGCTGGGATTACAGGTGCACTCCCCCACACCCGGCTAATTTTGTATTTTTAGTAGAGATGGGGTTTCACCATATTGGCCAGGCTAGTCCTGAACTCCTGACCTCAGGTGGTCCACCTGACTCAGCCTCCCAACGTGCTGGGATTACAGGCATAAGCCACATTGCCCAGCATCCCAACAAGCATTTTTCAGTATGTGCTGGCCAGGTGCAGTAGCTCATGCCTATAATCCCAACATTTTGGGAGGCCAAGGTGGGAGCACTGCTTGAGCCCAGGAATTTTTTTTTTTTTTTTTTTTTTTAGACAGAGTTTCGCTCTTGTTACCGAGGCTGGAGTGCAATGGCGCGATCTCGGCTCACCGCAACCTCCGCCTCCTGGGTTCAGGCAATTCTCCTGCCTCAGCCTCCTGAGTAGCTGGGATTACAGGCACGCGCCACCATGCCCAGCTAATTTTTTGTATTTTTAGTAGAGACGGGGTTTCACCATGTTGACCAGGATGGTCTTGATCTCTTGACCTCGTGATCCACCCGCCTTGGCCTCGCAAAGTGCTGGGATTACAGGTTTGAGCCACTGCGCCCGGCCTGAGCCCAGGAATTTAAGACCAGCCTGAGCAACACAGGGACACCCTGTCTCTACAGAAATAAATTTTAAAAAATTAGCTGGGCATGGTGCACATGCCTGAAGTCCCAGCTACTTCGGAGGCCAAGGTGGGAGGATTGCTTGAGCCCAGGAGTTTGAGGCTACAGTGAGATATGATTAGACCACTGTGCTCCAGTCTGCACGAAAAAGCAAGACCCTGTCTCTTAAGCCAAAAAAGGGGGTACCCCTCTCAGCCAGTAGGTGAATGGAGGTTTTTACATTTATGCTTTTTACACTTTTAGAGACAGGATCTCCTATATTGCCTAAGTTGGTCTGAAACTCATGGGCTCAGGCAGTCCTCCCACTTCAATCTCTCCAGTAGCTGGGATTACAGGCTTGAGCCACTGTCCCTGGCTATTTATTTATTTATTTTTGGAGATGGAGTCTCACTCTGTTGCCCAGGCAGGGGTGCACTGGCATGATCTTGGCTCACTGCAAGCTCCACCTCCCAAGTTCAAGAGATTCTCCTGCCTCAGCCTGCTCAGTAGCTGGGACTATGGGTGTGCATCACCCTGCCCAGCTAATTTTTGTATTTTTAGTAGAGACAAGGTTTCACCATGTTGCCCAGGCTGGTCTCGAACTTTTGGCCTTAAGTGATCTGCCCGCATTGGCCTCCCAAAGTGCTGGGATTATAAGCATGAGCCACCATGCTTGGCCTACTTTTTGATTTTTTTTTTTTTTTTTTTTTTGAGACACTCTTGCTCTTGTCGCCCAGGCTGGAGTGCAGTGGCATGATCTCAGCCTACTGCAGCCTCCACCTCCTAGGTTCAAGCGATTCTCCTGCCTTAGCCCCCTGAGTAGCTGGGATTACAGGCATGTGCCACCACGCCCAGCTAATTTTTGTGTTTTTAGTAGTGAGTAGTTTTGCCATGTTGGCCAGCCTGGTCTCAAACTCTTCAGCTCAAGTGATCCGCCCACCTCAGCCTCCCAAAGTGCTGGGATTACAGTCATAAGCCACCTCGCCCAGCCTTGTTTTTTTGTTTTGTTTTTTTGAGACAGTCTGGCTCTGTCGCCAGGCTGGAATGCAGTGGCACTATCTCAGCTCACTGCAGCCGCCTCCCGGGTTCAAGCAATTCTCATGCCTCAGCCTCTGAGTAGCTGGGATTACAGGCACATACCACCATGCCTGGCTAGTTTTTGTATTTTTAGTAGAGATGGGGTTTCATCATGTTGGCAAGGCTGGTCTTCAACTCCTGGCCTCAAGTGATCCACCCACCTTGGCCTTTGAAAGTGCTGGGATTATAAGCATTAGCAATCATGTCTGGTCTGAGGCCAGGGTTTTGTAGGTGTACCTGGGAGGGCACTCAGCCTGGGGGTCAAGTCTCCCGTGACTGTGCTAGAGTATCCTCAGAGGCTGCCACAGGGCTGGTGAACCAGGAAAGCCCTGAGTGCCCAAATCTGATTGGAGAGAACTGAACTAATCTCTGGTAGAGGCCAAACCAGCTGTTCAGGCCAGAGGCTGGGAGAGGCCCACAGTGTCCCTAAACATGACATCCAGGAGGCATGTCTGTGGTTTGGGAGACCCACATTCTAGCTTGGGATCTGCCACTTACTGATTGTGTGTCCTTAAGCAATTCACCTTCCCTCTCTGGGCCATATATTTCTCCATCCATAAAAGAGAAAAAAGCCAGGTGCAGTGGCTCACGCCTGTAATCCCAGCACTTCAGGAGGCTGAGATGGGTGAATGACTTGAGGCCAGGAGTTCGAGACCAGCCTGGCCAACACAGTGAAACCCCATCTCTACTAAAAATACAAAAATAGGCCAGGCGTGATGGTTCAGGCCTGTAATCCCAGCACTTTGGAAAACTAAGGCAGGCAGATCATCTGAGGTCAGGAGTTTGAGACCAGCCTGACCAACACGGCGAAATCCCGACTCTACTAAAAAAAAAAAAAAATGCAAAATTAGCCAGGAGTGGTGGTGGGAGCCTATAACCCCAGCTTCCTGGGAGGCTGAGGTGGGTGAATCACTTGAACCCAGGAGGCGGAGGTTGCAGTGAGCCGAGATCGTGCCACTGTACTCCAGCCTGGGTAATAAGAGAGAGACTCTGTCTCAAAAAAAAAAAAAAAGAGAGAAAGGGCTGGGCACAGTGGCTCATGCCTGTAATCCCAGTACTTTGGGAGGCCAAGATGGGTGGATCATTTGAACTCAGGAGTTCAAGACCAGCCTGGGCAACCCGGTGAAATTCCGAAAAAAAAAAAAGACCGGGCCTTGTGGCTCACCCCTGTAACCCCAGCACTTTGCCAAGCTGAGTAGGGCAGATCACAAGGTCAAGAGATTGAGACCATCCTTGCTAATATGCTGAAACCCCCATCTCTACTAAAAATACAAAAGTTAGCTTGGCATGGTGGTTCAAGATTTTAGTCCCGGCTACTCGGGAGGCTGAGGCAGGAGAATCACCTGAACCTGGGAGGTGGAGGTTGCAGTGGACTGATATGGCGCCACTGCACTCCAGCCTGGCGACAGAGGGAGACTCTGTCTCAAAAAAAAAAAGAGAGTAGAGAAGATTTCAGTAGGTTGTTGTGTGCATGAAGGTGGATGACCTCTTAAAGGTCTAAGGAAAGATATCAACAGGAACTTTATCTTAGTCATAAACTTGAATCCCTTCCTTCCTCATTTTGTTTTTTAATTAACTGCGACATCCTTGAGAACAGAAAATTTTGTTTAGCACCTGGCAAGGTGTCTGACAACATAGGAAATGGTAATCACCGCACTAATGATAATAGCAGACACCGTGACTGGCCCAGTTCTAAGCCCTCTTAAATTTATTAACTCAAAGCTCAAAGTTCTCAGCAGGGCAGCCCTGTCTCCACCCCCACCCCTGGGGGATGGGTTGCAGGACCCCCTAAGTGCCATCTTCCCTTCCTCCCTCAGGGCTCCCGGAGCGGGTGGAGCTGGCACCCCTCCCCCCTTGGCAGCCGGTGGGTCAGAACTTTACCCTGCACTGCCAAGTGGAGGGTGGGTCGCCCAGGACCAACCTCACGGTGGTGCTGCTCCGCTGGGAGGAGGAGCTGAGCCGGCAGCCTGCAGTGGAGGAGCTCGCAGAGGTCACTGCCACTGTGCTGGCCGGCAGAGGTGACCACGGAGCCCATTTCTCATGCCGCACAGAACTGGACCTGCAGCTCCAAGGGCTGAGACTGCTCGTGAACACCTCAGCCCCCCGCTGGCTCCGAACTTTTGGTGAGAGAAGGGGCTTCAGACGGTGGGTGATGAGCTGAGCCACGGTAGAGGGTGCCCTGGCTTTGGGATTCCTAAGAGTGGGGTGCCCTGGACCTCACAGGCTTCTGGGAAGGAAAGCCCCATGCTACTGGGCAGGGTGGCCCCAGAAGGGAGGCCTGAGCCATCGGATCTTTGGAGAAAGCCGTTTTTAAGGCTGTGTGGGTGTGTCCTGGAAAGAATGGGTGACCCGGTCAGCAAAATATCCTGATTGAGAGGGGGGTGAGGGTGTCCTGGGGGAAGGCACAGTCCTGCGGGCTGTGCTGATGCCTACCTTTCTCCCCAGCCCTGCCGGTGACACCACCGCGCCTCGTGGCTCCCCGGTTCTTGGAGGTGGAAACCTCGTGGCCGGTGGACTGCACCCTAGACGGGCTTTTTCCGGCCTCAGAGGCCCAGGTGCACCTGGCGCTGGGGGACCAGGTGCTGAATGCGACAGTCACGAACCACGGGGACATGTTAACGGCCACAGCCACAGCCACGGCGCGCGCAGATCAGGAGGGTGCCCGAGAGATCATCTGCAACGTTACCCTAGGGGGCGAGAGACTCGAGGCCCGGAAGAACTTGACGGTCTTTAGTAAGAGGGGGCGGGGAAAGGGGGCGTGGCCTCGGCAGTCTGGGGGCGTGTCAGAGGGGGCGGAGACTAGCCGAAAAGTTGGGGCCTGACTTCCCCAGTAGTAGTTGCAACGTGGGCAAGGCCCGAGTACCCGGAATTGGACAAAGGCCACAAAGAGGGCGAGGCTTGAAACGCCGAAAGCATGGCCCGGATATTCCGAGAGGAAAGGGGAGGGCGGAGGGCTCGGCTAGATCCACAGGAAGGTCCTGTTCATTAAGCTCCTGGGCAATGCCCCGCCTTTAGGTTTCCTAGGACCCATTCTGAACCTGAGCGAGCCTAGTGCCCCCGAGGGGTCCACAGTGATCGTGAGTTGCAGGGCTGGGGCTCGAGTACAGGTCATGCTGGACGGAGTTCCGGCCGCGGCCCCAGGGCAGCCAGCTCAACTTCAGCTAAATACTACCGAGAATGATGACGGACGCAGATTCTTCTGCAGTGCCGCTCTCGAGGTGGACGGCGAGTTCTTGCACAGAAACAGTAGCGTCCAGCTGCGTGTCCTGTGTGAGTCGGTCACCCTGACCTTTAATCCCTCCGCCCCTGCCCTGGAAAGATTAGCTGCTCCTCTGCCCCACTGTGCTTTGGATGTGTTGGGTGTCTGATCACACATGGTGGTTCCACAGATGGTCCCAAAATTGACCGAGCCAAATGTCCCCAGCACTTGAAGTGGAAAGATAAAACGAGACAGGTCCTGCAGTGCCAAGCCCGGGGCAACCCGTCCCCCCAGCTGCGGTGTTTGAAGGAAGGCTCCAGCCAGGAGGTGCCGGTGGGGATCCCATTCTTGGTCAATGTAACACATAATGGCACTTATCAATGCCAAGCGGTCAGCTCACTGGGCAAATATACCCTGGTCGTGGTGATAAACATTGAGGGTGAGCTAACACGGGGCCACGGGGCTGGACTGGCAAGCCCGGGAGGCGGGGGTGTTAGAGACAGGGGGGGACGCATATTGACTTCGCGCTTTCTCTGCACAGCTCGGAACTCCCACTTTGTCCCCGTCTTATTGGCGGTGTTAACGACCCTGGGCGTGGTGACTGTCGTAGTGGCCTTAACGTACGTCTTCCGGGCGCGGAAACAGAGAGGCTTGTACCATGTTAGGCAGGAGAGCCCCTCTCTGCCCCTCACGTCTATGCCCACAGAGGCAATGAGGGAAGAACCGTCCAGAGTTGAGTGACGCTGGGATCTTGGGCCAAAGTTGGCGGGGACTTGGCTGTACCTTCAGATTCCCCACCAATAAAGCCTTTAAATTCCCTAATCTGTGGTTTGATTCCACCCGCGCTGCAAGGCTCTCCCACTCAGGTGCACATCCACTGAGTGGCGTCGCTGCGGCGGAAGGGGGCGGGATCTGTGGCGCGCAGACGCAGCTTGAACTCTTGAGAAGCTGGGGTTAAGCCAATGGGCTGAGGGGGGAGGGAAGGAGGTGGGGCTTTTCCTAGCCAATCACTGGGCGCGCCCTTGTTGCCGCTCTATGCCGCGCCGCCTCGGCTCGCTGGTCCCAGAAGGCGCCGGGTTTCCCAAGATGGCGGCGGACGTGTCCGTTACTCACCGGCCCCCGCTGAGTCCGGAGTCTGGGGCCGAGGTCGAAGCCGGCGATGCTGCAGAGCGCCGGGCGCCCGAAGAAGAGTTGCCGCCCCTAGATCCAGAAGAGATCCGGAAACGCCTGGAACACACCGAGCGCCAGTTCCGTAACCGCCGCAAGATACTGATCCGGGGCCTCCCGGGGGACGTGACCAACCAGGTATGGGGGGGGCGGTGTGGGATCGTGGCGGGAAATACCACGGTGCGCGTGCGCGGGGGGGAACTGGGCGACACCAACACTGAGGTGCGCGGGGGTCGTTAACCAGGGCGTCCAAGCACCCGATCCACGCAGGATCGGGAGAGACCAAGAGCGGGATGCGGGGCGGGGGGGCTGTGATGAAAGGGGAAACTGACTGTGATGTGAAGGAGGGCGTTGCTAGGGGCGACCACAAGCTTGGGCGACACCAACTGATGGAAGGGGGCGGGGAATGTAAGGGGGCGGACAGCTTTGGCCTTGTTGGGGAATTGTGAATGGGCTAGTACATTGGGCCACGTTTGCCCCCTGCTTGGATGGTGCTTTTCTGCACCCATTCTAGCACAGGATGGCGGGACCTCAAATCTAGACGTTTCAGGACTGACTAGACGTTTCATACCGAGAGTATGCCCCTTCATATCACGCGTGTATTCACTGCTGTCAGATAAATCCGGAAGTTACAGCAGTCTCTGGGTCTCGGCCCCCAAAACCTCAGAATTAACTTGGGAAAATGGGGTCTCCTGTCACCAGCCTACAGATCTAGAGGAAGGAAGTAAGGCCTGTGTTCTGTGGAGCCCCTCGTGGCTAATCTTCCTGCTTGGAGTGCCTTTTTCATGGGGCCAGCATGGGGCAGCGTTTCCCATTGCTCTTTGGACCCAGGGAAATGACATCTATACTGCCCTGCCCTATGGCAGTGAAATAGCTTCTCGCTTCCTGCTGCTGAGATTCCCTGCTCTCTGGCCCATCAGCACACTGCCACTGGCCCTCCCTGCCCATTGGTGGGCATGTAGCTAGTGGGACCCCAGGATTTTGGGAGGGGCTGAATTTGGGGACAGATCGGGGCAGGCATCATTAAGGATGGTCAGGTTTCTTTCTGGGTCCTCCTCCCAGTGTCTACAGTCTCTCAGCTGGGAACACATTTTGTTTCTCCCTCAAGACACACAGTGTGTCTGGCCCCAGCACTTTGCCTTCAAAGCTGGCTTGAGAGGCTGGACACGGTGACTCATGCCTTTAATCCCAGCAGTTTGAAAGGCTGTGAGGCAAGTGGCCCTCTGGAGCCCAAGTGTTTGAGACTAGCCTGGGTAGCCTAGTGAAACCTCTACTCTACAAAAAATTTTAAAAATTAGCCAGGCATGGTAGTGTGTGCTTGCAGTCCCAGCTACTCAGGAGGCTGAGGTGGGAGGATCGCTTGAGCCTAGGAGGTTGAGGCTGCAGTGTGCTATGTTCGTGCCACTGTACTTTAGCCTAGGCGACAGAACAAGACGCTATCTGTTAAAAAAAAAGGAAGAAAACTAAATGAGCTGGCTTGCAAGAGCGACGCCTTGTCAGCAGGAGGAAATTGAGAGGCACCCACACAATGTGGGGCTAAGTATGTGGGCTCTATAGTCAGGTACCCGTAGGCAGCATCCAGCCGCTGTGCTGCCCCCACAATGCAGGTCTCCAGCAGGTCTCTTCACTTTGCCTAGCCTCAGTTTTCTCATGTACAAAATGACTGTTAATATCACTTACACAGTTGCTGGAAACAGTGAATCTTAGAAAAGGAGGTTCATGCAGGTTAAATGACTTCCCTAAAGGCATACTCTTGTTTTTCTTTTGAGGCAGTGTCTCCCTTTGTCGCTCAGGCTGGAGCGCAGTGGCATACTGCAACCTCCGCCTCCCGGGTTCAAGCAATTCTCCCACCTCAGCCTCCCTAGTAGCTAGGATTACAGGTGCGTGCCACCATGCCTGGCTAATTTTTGTATTTTTATTTTTAATTAATTATTTTGAGATAGAGTCTTGCTCTGTTCCAGGATGGCGTGCAGTGATGCCATTTGGCTCACTGCAACCTCCGCCTCCCGTGTTCAAGGTATTCTCCTGCCTCAGCCTCCTGAGTAGTTGGGATTACAGGTGTGTGCCACCATGCCCAGCTAATTTTTATATTTTTTTCACTTTTTTTTCTTTTTATTTTAGGAAAAAAATAGCTCCTGATTAGGAGCTGTAGTCGGCACCGCTGCTGGCAGAGGCAGGTCACTAACCACCTGCATAATTTTTATATTTTTATTAGAGATGGGGTTTCACCATGTTGGCCAGGCTGGTCTTGAACTCCTGACCTCTTTTTTTTTTTTTTTTGAGATGGAGTTTTGCTCTTGTTACCCAGGCTGGAGTACGATGGCGTGATCTCAGCTCACCGCAACCTCCACCTCCTGGGTTCAGGCAATTCTCCTGCCTCAGCCTCCTGAATAGCTGGGATTACAGGCATGTGCCACCATGCCCAGCTAATTTTTTGTATTTTTAGTAGAGACAGGGTTTCACCATGTTGACCAGGATGGTCTCGATCTGTTGACCTCATGATCCACCTGCCTCGGCCTCCCAAAGTGCTGGGATTACAGGCTTGAGCCACCGTGCCCGGCCTGAACTCCTGACCTCTTGATCCACCCCTCCGTGGCCTCCCAAAGTGCTGGGATTATAGGCATGAGTGACTGCACCTGGCCTCATTTTTGTATTTTTAGTAGAGATCGGGTTTCACCATGTTGGCCAGGCTGGTCTCGAACTCCTGACCTCAGGTGATCTACCTGCCTCGGCCTCCCAAAGTGCTGAGATTACAGGCATAAGCGAGCTAAAGGAATTCCCTCTAAGAGCGTGTTGTTGTACTGGGTAATAGCATAGACTGTAGCCAGGTTCTGAATCCCAGCTCTGCCAGGTATGGGCAGAATGACCTTGGCCAAATTATTGCATTGAGCCTCAATTTCCTCATTGGTAAAATGGGGGGTGGTAATTGACCTGCCTTCAGAGCTGGTGGCAACTATGAAGGCAGCACTGGGTTGCTCTCTTCCATTTCTAGTAACTCGGTCTTTTCTCTTCTGTTTCCACAGGAAGTGCATGACCTGCTCCGTGCCTATGAGCTCAAGTATTGTTTTGTGGACAAATATAAAGGGACAGGTTTGTGGGGCCATGGGGTGGGCTAGAGCAGGGGTGATTGTCCCTGAAGGTGGGAGGACCCTGGCCCAGTGTCTGCTGCCCTGAACTGTCGACATTGCTACAGGCCCAGTATTGCCCCCCAGTCCAGCATGACTGGTTGCCCCATCTGCCTGTCACCCTGGGTGCCTATCTTGGGACAGCCTTCATGTCCTCCTGGAGAACATTGGGCTGATTCTTTTCCTACTCCAGTTGCTTGGCATTGAATGAATAATAAACAATGCTTGGCCTTGGGCTCATTCTCTTCCTGCCCCTCTTGGCTCACCCAGCCAGTCACCCAGTTACCCCTACCTGTATAGTCTTTTTTTTGAGACGGAGTCTCACTCTGTCACCCAGGCTAGAGTGCAGTGGCACGATCTCGGCTCACTGCATCCTCCGCCTCCTGGATTCAAGCCATTCTCCTGTCTCAGCCTCCTGAATAGCTGGGATTACAGGCATGTACGACCATACCCGGCAAATTTTTGTATTTTTAGTAGAGATGGGGTTTCACCGTGTTGGCTAGGCCGGTTTTGAACTCCTGACCTCAAGTGATCTGCCCGCCTCAGCCTCCCAAAGTGCTGGGATTACAGGGATGAGTCAGCATGCTCGGCCCTGTGTGGTCTTTTTTAAATGCTCTATTCCTTTGGCTTCCACCTGGGCTGTGCCCCTCCATCTCTGCCTAAATGGCTGCCTTCCCCTGACCACCATGATTTCATGTTGCTACTTGTTTTCTCCCAGGTAGCAAGCTCCAATCTTGCTGCCAGTCTGATCAAACCTACTCCTAACCTTGATCATTCTTTTTTTCTCAAAATCTGAGGCTCCTCCTCATGCTGCCTTAGGAGGATGTGCTTCAGCCTTGCCATCGTCTTCTCGGGTGCCCATGAAGTTCTGGGCTGTTCGCTTGGCCACTGTTCTTTGCTGTCTTCTCTTCTATCCAGGCCCCACCCACGTGGGGTTGGGCAGCTCCCCATTATAGCACTGAGCAGGCTGGGCTGTTGTTGCTGGCCCGCCCACCTTCACAAGCTACTGCTATGTGAAGGTGGGGGGCAGGTTGGCCACGCACAGGAGGGCAGCAACAACAGCCCACTCCTCTACGGAGTGGTCAGCTGCATGAGAATGGGGACAGGTCTTGTCAGCCGTGGTTCCCCCAAGTGGGAGGCCCTCAGTGCCTCATTGGGTGTTTGTGTCCGCCAGGCATTGTGCCCGGCGTTAGACCTCCCAGGGCCTTTGCTTGCAGCCTGTAACATGTGTGGGAAGGAGCGAAGGATAGGTGTCCCTCAGAGACCTACCTGGCAGGCTGGGGTAGTGATTAAAATCTTGGGCCCTGAAGGCAAAAAGACCTTGAGTTTGAATCCTGGTCTGTGGCTGTGGGCAAGTGATTTACCCTTCCTTGGGCTCAGTTTTCTCACCAACAAATTAAGCATGACCGTAATGTGTCTCCTAACATGTTATGACCTGCCTGAGTTGGCCATGGAACCAAATACACTCAAATGCCTAAAAGGCCGGGACAGTGGCTCATGCCTGTAATCCCAGCACTCTGGGAGGCCATG